TAAAATTGATCAGAAATACAGTGTAGACATTGTTAATGTTGTAAATGGCTATTGTAGCTGAAACGGCTGATTTTTAAGGGAATATCTACATAGGCGTACAGAGGCCCATTATCAGCAACCATCAGTCCTGTGTTCCAATGGCACGTTGTTTGCTAATCCAAGTTTATCATTTTAAAAGGCTAATTGATCAATAGAAAACCCTTTTGCAATTATGTTAGCACAGCTGAAAACTGTTGTGTTGATTTAAAGAAGCAATAAAACTGGCCTTCTTGATACTAGTTGAGTATCTGGAGCATCAGCAATTGTGGGTTCGATTACAGGCTCAAAATGGCCAGAAACAAATAACTTCCTTCTGAAACTCGTCAGTCTATTCTTGTTCTGAGAAATGAAGGCTATTCCATGGGAGAAATTGCCAAGAAACTGAAGATCTCGTACAATACTGTGTACTACTCCCTTCACAGAACAGCGCAAACTGGCTCTAACCAGAAAAGAAAGAGGAGTTGGGAGGCCCCGGTGCACAACTGAGCGAGAGGACAAATACAGTCCTCAACTGGCAGCTTCATTAAATAGTAACCGCAAAACACCAGTCTCTTAACGTCAACAGTGAAAGCGGTGACTGGTCAATAAAAATAAAAGATTAAGATGGGCAAAAGAACACAGACACTGGACAGAGGAAGATTGGAAAAAAGTGTTATGGACAGACGAATCGAAATTTGAGGTGTTCGGATCACAAAGAAGAACATTTGTGAGACGCAGACCAAATGAAAAGATGCTGGAGGAGTGCTTGATGCCATCTGTCAAGCATGGTGGAGGCAATGTGATGGTCTGGGGGTGCTTTGGTGGTGGTAAAGTGGGAGATTTGTACAGGGGAAAAGGGATCTTGAAGAAGGAAGGCTATCACTCCATTTTGCATCGCCATGCCATACCCTGTGGACGGCACTTGATTGGAGGCAATTTCCTCCTACAACAGGACAATGACCCAAAGCACAGCTCCAAACTATGCAGTAACTATTTAGGGCAGAAGCAGTCAGCTGTTATTCTGTCTATAATGGAGTGGCCAGCACAGTCACCGGATATCAACCCTATTGATCTGTTGTGGGAGCAGCTTGACCGTATGGTACGTAAGAAGTGCCCATCAAGCCAATCCAATTGTGGGAGGTGCTTCAGGAAGCATGGGGTGAAATCTCTTCAGATTACCTCAACAAATTGACAACTAGAATGCCAAGGCTGTAATTGCTGCAAATTGAGGATTATTTGACTAAAGCAAAGTTTGAAGGACACAATTATTATTTCAATAAAAAATCATTATTTCTAACCATGTCAATGACTACATTTCCTATTCATTTTGCTATATTTCCTATTCAAACTCATTTCATGTATGTTTTCATGGAAAACAAGGACCTTTCTAAGTGACCCCAAATGTTTGAACGGTAGTGTATATACTGTTCTACTAATGCTGTGTTTTTGTAAAGGGATGGTTTCTACTCCAGCTCCCTGCAGCTAGTCTAGGCGTATGGTCAAGGACATGGGTTTTACTCGAGATAGGGGTATCTGGAGCTGACAATTGATTTAGGGATGGCTAGGTGATAAAACCAACAGTCACATTCCATTTCATGATTAATGGTGTGTGTGAGAGGGAGATGTGTCCGGTCTGACTGAGCCTGCAGTTTCATAGACTGAATTGGTGTCTAAGTTACCAGGGACGAGATCTGTTATGAATAGTTGATAAGAACCTTGTCTTGGGTGCCAAACCCTGATTTCCATACAATGAGAACATAGCAGATACTGTCTGCAGTGAATTATTCATTTATTTCATACAAATCCTAACCTTTTGACTCATTCCACACATCTGCTGTTTGTCATGTAGACTGAGAGGGTGTATCGTGCTATATAATATATTTGCATTGTCTGTATGTGAGAGCTCGCAGCATCACACTTCAGAGTGTTGGGTCGACCAGCCTCATTTACTACCTTTATTCATACGTTTTTAATAAAGTTATATCCTGATTGGTGATTGACCTTGTCTCTCCTCATTATTGACTAGAATTTCCACGACAACCTTTCCCCAGATCTGTGCCTCGACACAATCCTGTCTTGGAGCTCTACAGGACAATTCCTTCGACCTCATGTCTTGGTTTTTGCTCTGACATGCACTGTCAACTGTGGGACCTTATATAGACAGGTGTGTGCCTTTCCAAATCATGTCCAATCAGTTGAATTTACCACAGGTGGACTCCAATCAAGTTGGAGAAACATCTCAAAGATGATCAATGGAAACAGGATGCACCTGAGCTCAATTTCGAGTCTCATAGCAAAGGGTCTGAATACTTATGTAAATACGTTATTTTTTTATATACATTTGCAAAAATGTCAAAAAACCTGTTTTCGCTTTGTCGTTATGGGGTATTGTGTGTAGATTGAGGACATGTTTTTATTTAATCCATTTTAAAATAAGGCTTTAACGTAACAAAATGTGGATAAAAGTCAAGGGGTCTGAATACTTTCCGAATACACTGTAGACTGACCAGGTGAAAGTTATGATCCCTTATTGATGTCAATCAGTGTAGATGAAGAGGAGGATTTTAAAGCTTTGGGACAATTGAGACATGGATTGTGTATGTGTGCCATTCATAGGGTGAATGGGCAAGACAAAAGATTGAAGTGCCTTTGAACGGGGTATGGTGGTAGGTTCCAGGCGCACCGGTATGAGTGTGTCAAGAACTGCAAGGCTGCTGGGTTTTTCACGCTCAACCGTTTCCTGTGTGTATCAAGAATGGTCCACCACCCAAAGGACATCCAGCCAACTTGCCACAACTGTGGGATGTATTGGAGTCAACATGGGGCAACATCTCTGTGGTACACTTTCAATACCTTGTAGAGTCCATGCCCCAATGAATTGAGGCTTTCCTGAGGGCAAAACAGGGTGCAGCCAGTGTTTCCTTTAGCCGGTAATAGCCGGCTTTTGTCCGATATATATATTTTTTTTAATACTATTTTTGTAGAAAAGCTGAGGGAAGAAAAAATCCCCTTGCGAAATAATGCTTTTTAGCCCATTCATTGAGGGAAATACCAGTCGATGTAAATACATTTTACTGGTCTCTAGGATCATTTGCATAATTTAGTGGAATTAAATTGACGCGTGTGTACAGTATATTTAATATGTATTTTATTTATCATACAGATACTGAGCCTTTGAGTGGAAAATCTGTCAGACAGCATAAGAGCTGCTGCTGCAGCATCTTGTATAAGAGGTCAAATCATGACGTCCGGTGATCTTCAGGTCAGAAAGTTGGAGCTCTGGAAAGAGGCCAGAGTTCCCAAGTTGGAATTCCGAGTTGGATGACCGTTCAAAACTATTTTAGCCAGTCGTTTTTTTCCCCCCCCAGTTCATATTTGTCTTGAACACACTTAAGTCTGAGATTTCAGAGTTCCCAGTTGTTTTGAACGTGGCATCAAACGGCAACAGAAGGCAGGCTTCATCAGCGCATCACACACCACTTTGCAATGCGCTAGAGGCAGTATGCATTTTGAAAACATACTTAATTGTTTGAAACCTGAACATTTTAATACGTATTATGAGGCATGTCTTACCTTGCTTCAAATTAGCCTATTAGAGCTCCTCTCTTTCTAAATTTCTAACAGATATTTTCATCTCTGTCACATGAAACCCCTCGCATGTGCGGTGCCCTTTTGACATTCGCTCGTAGCATACTGCCTTGTGTGCATTGCTGCGCATATAATGTGAATAAATAATTGTTTAACATTTTAAGCTAAACGTTCTGATCTGTTTCATCAGACTCATTGTTTTTGAACGTTTTTTTATGTAGCCTAGGCCTACTAGTTGAATTAATTTGGGGTCTTTCGTCCCACAACTGTCCCAGAATCTGTTTGGAATAGGCCATTTCTTTCTCGACAAGCAGACCAATAGAATAGGTAGCCTAAACTTTTCTACTATAGTAGATTGACATAGGCTAGTAATTTTGCTGTTCATTACACTTCTTGTTGGCTAAGGAAAAGTAAATGTGGACAGTTATTCTAACATGTTCAAAGTGCACATCAGAATTCGGTAAGAAGGACGACACATCGTTGCATCATTGACTTGCATGTTCTGTTAATATGAATTACCATATTCTAAATGTGATTTCTGTCATTCTGAGCATTGTGGGTGGACACCCTAATCAGGTTACACACCCAATGCATATGGGTCCAGTACATTTCTAAAATGTCCGGTGAATTAAAATGTTGCCTGTCAAATGTCCAGCGCCACATTTTCCTTACAGAAACCCTGGGTGCAACTCAATATTAAGGTGTTCCTATTGTTTTGTACACTCAGTGTATGTAAATTGTCAGATAAAAATGTTATAACATTTGCCTAGGAACTCACTTGGTGAAGGCCACAGGACTTAAAAAGGAATTAATTCAACAACTAGATTTCTGTCACTAACAAATACAGTCATGGTTGGTAACTCTACAATTCACTCTATAATGCAAGGCAGGGTCCCTTGGAAACATGCAAATTAGGCTTTACACCATGCAGTGTTAAAACACTAACACTACAGGTGTTAATTTCTTACACTGAGAAAGTGTAACAGCGTCAGCACTAAGCAAAGTGTTAATTTAACACTGAAAAGTGTGGATCCGTATAGACACTGGAACAGTTTTTTAAATTTAACCCTCAGTATTGATTCAACACTGGAGAATTTGCTGTGTGGGAATTCTTTGTCTTTGTCTGATGTAGTGGTGTGTGTGTGTGTGTGTGTGTGTGTGTGTGTGTGTGTGTGTGTGTGTGTGTGTGTGTGTATTTTTATTTTATTTTTTTTGTCTCTGCGTGTAAGAATATGGTGGAAAGGGGGAAACAGACAGTGGCACCCCTAGCTCCATGTAATCAAAACACACACACATTCCCAGGATCTCCCACTCCAGTCAGAGGAATCTCCCGTTCCTGTGCCAGGTACTAACAGGGCCCAGTCTGAACACATGGCGTTCCCCCTTCTTAAGCCATGGGCCTGTGGAGGAGGCAGGAGACGCCCTCCACACTGTTTCTGTCTGACCCAGCTGTTTTGGAAATGCTGGGGGCCTCCGTGAGTCGGGAATGACACGACAGAGTGAGATAAAGGTGGAAAGAGAGAGGTGTATCTCCTCTGTCCTCTTCCAGCCGGTTGAATTCCAGAGTTCTGTTTATAGAACACAATTGCCATGGTTTCTGTTCTGACACCCTGGCTGCTGCCATCTCTGTCTGTCTGCCTTCTGCCCTGTTCCCACAGGCATTGTTCTGAGCTGGCTGTTTCTCCCTCCCTCCCCCAACCTTCAGTTTTTTGTGCAGCTGCATTTGTTTTTAAAATCAGCAAGGCTGAAAAACAGACACACCCCATGTTCCATACTGGGCATGTTCTGTACCTAAGTTGGTACAACCGACACTAGTTTTGAACTGACAACAAATTGCATAACAATGCTCTAAAGAAGAGTTGGAAATACCATACAGTTTCACCATTTACAGTGCATTCAGAAAGTATTCAGACCCCTTGACTTTTTCCACATTTTGTTACGTTACAGCCTTATTCTAAAATGGATTCAATTGTTTTTTTCCCTCATCAATCTACACACAATACCCCATAATGACAAAGCAAAAACAGGTTTTTAGAAATGTTTGCAAATGTATAAAAATTAAATAAAAAAATATCACATTTACATAAGTATTTAGACCCTTTACTCAGTACTTTGTTGAAGCATTACAGCATCGAGTCTTCTTGGGTATGATGCTACAAGCTTGGCACACGTGTATTTGTGGAGTTTCTCCCATTCTTCTCTGCAGATCCTCTCAAACTCTGTCAGGTTGGATGGGGAGCATCACTGCACAGCTATTTTCAGGTCTGTCCAGAGATGTTCGATCGGGTTCAAGTCCGGGCTCTGGCTGGGCCACTCAAGGACATTCAGATACTTTTTTTTACATTTTAGTCATTTAGCAGACGCTCTTATCCAGAGCGACTTACAGTTAGTGAGTGCATACATTTTTCATACTGGCCCTCCGTGGGAAACGAACCCACAACCCTGGCGTTGCAAACGCCATGCTCTACCAACTTAGCTACACGTTGTCTTGGCTGTGTGCTTAGGGTCGTTGTCCTGTTGGAAGGTGAACCTTTGTCCCAGTCTGAGGTCCTGAGCGCTCTGGAGCAGGTTTTCATTAAGGATCTCTCTGTACTTTGCTCTGTTAATTTTTTCCTCGATCCTGACTAGTCTCCCAGTCCCTGCCGCTGAAAAACATCTCCACATTATGATGCTGCCACCACCATGCTTCACCGTAGGGATGGTGCCAGGTTTTCCTTCAGACGTGACGCTTGGCATTCAGGCCAAAGAGTTCAATCTTGGTTTCATCAGACCAGAGAATCTTGTTTCTCATGGTCTGAGAGTCCTTTAGGTGCCTTTTGGCAAATTCCAAGCGGGCTGTCGTGCCTTTTACTGAGGAGTGGCTTCTGACTGGCCACTCTTCCATAAAGGCCTGATTGGTGGAATGCTGCAGTGATGGTTGTCCTTCTGGAAGGTTCTCCCATCTCCACAGAGTAACTTCCCTGACCAAGGCCCTTCTCCCCCGATTGCGCAGTTTGGCTGGGTGGCCAGCTCTAGGAAGAGTCTTGGTGGTTCCAAACTTCTTCCATTTAAGAATGATGGAGGCCACTGTGTTCTTGGGGACCTTCAATGCTACATACATTTTTTGGTACCCTTCCCCAGATCTGTGCCTCGACACAATCCTGTCTCGGAGCTCTACGGACAATTCCTTCAACCTCATGGCTTGGTTTTTGCTCTGACATGCACTGTCAACTGTGGGACCTTTATATAGACAGTTGTGTGCCTTTCCAAATCATGTCCAATCAATTGAATTTACAACAGGTGGACTCCAATCAAGTTATAGAAACATCTCAAGGATGATCAATGGAAACAGGAAGCACCTGAGCTCAATTTCGAGTCTCATAGCAAAGGGTCTGAATACTGTTTTTTATTTGTAATACATTTGTAAACATTTGTAAAAAACCTGTTTTCGCTTTGTCATTATGGGGTATTGTGTGTAGATTTAGATTTATTTTAAAAATCTATTTTGGAATAAGGCTGTAATGTAACAATGTGGAAAGAGTCAAGGGGTCTGAATACTTTCCAAATGCACTGTATATCAGCTCTTCATTTGACAGCTGGACAAGGCTGGCTGTCTTTTATGGCCTATTATGAAGTTGTTTTCTGCCTTGGCTTCAGAGTGTCCAAGGGGAGAGCATTAATCTGCCCTTTTAAAGCTCCAAACAGCAGTCACAGCCCAGCTACGGTCTCCATGGAGACGCTTCGGATGAGTCATCCGTTTCATAGAGAACATTCCTGTGTTGGCCCGCTGGGAGCGGCCGGTATCAATCATGCCTTACCTTTTGACCTCCAGTCCCGGGCACTAATCAAAACAGGCCATGTATCTGACTGGACTTCCATAAGACAGCCGTCAACAGGCAGGAATGAGGGAGATTAGTGGAATATATTGTGACCTGAGGAAACACGTCAACAACATTCATTCTACAGACAGTTATCAGAGGACAGAAAGGGCTGGGAAAGATGGATCACTACAGGCATAACCTTTCAACTCATTTTCCCTAACCCCGGGACCTTTTGTCTGCATTACAATGTTCCTCCACCAACATTATTTTTTAAATAAACAACGAGTTGAGTTCACTTCGTGCCTGTGACAGCAGTGCGGGATATGTGGACTTCATAACCTTGTTACACAATGAAAAACAAAACGATGCATTTATAGGCGTTTAATCATTCAACACACTGCCTCTATGAAACTAGTTCCCCATGTCTATAGGCTGTAGCTGCTTTACCACTGAGTTGTATACTACTACACAGTAAAGGTCTGTCTGAATGGAAGTGGTCATGTGTGTTTCTCCCTTCTCGTGCACAGATTGAGCGGCGCATGGAGATTGTGCGCGTGGTGTCCCACAATACACACAAGAGGATGGTCACGTGTCTACAGGGCCACATTGGTACCGACGCAGAGAAGAGACATGTAAGTACAGATATTATTAACATTATTCCTGGCCAAATTGTCTGTGTCACTAGAGCCAAGATTAGCATATATTTATGATTTATATCCCATTGAATCTTCACCTATCCCGATTATCACTAGTTTATCCAACCCCCTTGAAAATAATGTTCTATATCAGCAATTTGTGTTTGTTTTTGTTTACTTCTCATGATCCAACATGTACAATTGTGTCAATGCCAGTCCGTACCACGCCTTTACACAGGAAATGGTCAGGTAAAAACACACATTTTACTTTCTCATAGCTACATTTCTGGCTCTGCTCAACCCTCCTTCCATGCATTTCATTCCAGCTTTGAGAATAGAAAGGAATGAAAAGGCATCATACTGTAACTAGTTTTTCCAGTATGTCAAAGCACTGTAGCTCTTAACACAGCAATAACAGTAACGTCCTCATTCTTTCTACTATTCTTTATTGTCCAACTTCATGACAGTGGAAATGGACTTTCCATTGATAAACCCTAAAAAGCTAAGCACAAGAAACCTTTTGACATATTAGAATTAGTCAATTGTTGGTGCCTCAGTTGGTATCTAATAAATGTATACATCTCTCTCTTCCCTCTCTGTCTCTACACACACACCTCACAGAAAAAGCTTCCTCTGACGGCTCTGTCTCAAGCCATGGTGGACGGTGGCAGTCAGCTGGGAGAGGAGTCTCTGATTGGGTGAGTGAGGGTGATTGACAGGTTAGACAACCAACCATCTGTCTTACACAGGTTATATGGGCCAGATGAACCCTAGAGAGATGGAGAATGTGGGGCTATGTTTTCAGAGCTAACAAACTGCCCTAATTATTATCAACTGTATTTTCAGTGGTTTTTTGTTTTTGTGGAGGATCAGAAAGTGTTTACTGTGGATGTGTGTATCCACATAATGAGGATGTGTGCCAGACAATTTCTCCATTTAACAACACTAGCTACATCGTTGCCTTGTTCGCATGGTAAGACAGTGACAGAAATGGACACTGAGACAAGAGGATCTAGAAACTATGACTGGAAACTAGCCATCGATTTACTGTTACTAACCAGTGTCCATCCAACCTTTTTATGAGCGCAAAGTACATGTCGGATAAAACATTTTTTGACAGGCCTGATGGAAACTGAACATTTGTCGGTGAACTTTCCAAATGTCAACAAAACAAAATACGCTAGACAAGGTGGGATCTTTTTGTGTTGGCAAAATGTAATTATGAGAGAAATGTCGGTTGAAATGCTTTTATGCACAAATATTGCTATAAGAACTATCATGTCGAAGTAAACTTGGAGTCACGCGATGACATGTTGTGTCGTCCTCCCACTACGACTCGTCGGGAAAGCATGCAGTTTATTAGGCTACAGATTAAATAAATTATGATGAACTTCACAGGGTGGTGAAAGTGCAAGGTGATGAGCTTGATGCTCATTTCCAATAAATATTGAGTGTCTTATTCTGGTTACATGATCATCGATGCTTGGCTGCCATTTGACAAATAAAAATGATCTTGCTCTTTTGTCCCTAATAATCTCATCATGTAGTGAAAATGCGATGGAAACCCATTTAACTTGTATTTTTTATTCGGTACATGGGAATTTAACCGCAAAAGGTATATTTATGTGCAGTACGTCATCACACAGCCTTTTATCCGCAATAAGTCAATTTGATGGAAACACATCTTTGGTGGGAAAATGTGCATATTGTTTTTATGCGGATTTTAGAATGAAAAGCTGTCGCCAATTAGATGGAAACCTAGCTACTGTCTGCTTTTAGGAGGAAGTCCATCTATCTCATTTGACACATTGTGCATGATGTACAGTATGTGTGGATGAAGAATTATGAATTTGAAAGGTAGTGCCAAAGGGGACTGGTGACGAATGCGACATGTAGATGGCCCTTTCTGCTGTGATCAGTCATTATTTATATTATTTGAAGGAAAGTAATGGTGTAACTGCTAATCCCGATGGCACTTCCTGTGGCGTCTGGATGACCTGTGTGTGGGTCTCCTCCTGACAGGAAGATGATGGAGGTGTGTGGGGAGGCAGAGAACAGGCTGGCGTCAGAGCTGCTGCAGCACGAGGTCCAGATAGAGAAGGACGTGCTAGACCCCCTCAACCAGCTAGCAGAGGTGAGTTGAAGGAGATATCTAGCTAGTGCCTTATTTAATCCAAACCTGTCTCAAGAGTATCCAATATATTAGTCAAAATTCTTACTCCAACACAGCATCAAAGAATGATTGAGTCAATATGTATTTGGAAAAGCACCATACGTTCTTAATATGCATGTGATCCATCCATATTCTCAGGTGGACATTCCCAACATCTTGAAACAGAGGAAGCAGCTAGCCAGGCTAGTGCTGGACTACGATTCTGCCAGAGCGAGGTGAGCCTATGTACATGTACAGTGCCTTGCAAATGTATTCATCCCCCTTGGCGTTTTTCTTATTTTGTTGCATTACAACCTGTAATTTAAATTGATTTTTATTTGGATTTCATGTAATGGACATACACAAAATAGTCCAAATTGGTGAAGTGAAATGAAAAAAATTAGTTGTTTCAAAAAATTCTAAAAAATAAATAACGGAAAAGTGGTGCGTGCATATGTATTCACCCCCTTTGCTATGAAGCCCCTAAATGAGATCTGGTGCAACCAATTACCTTCAGAAGTCACATAATTAGTTAAATAAAGTCCACCTGTGTGCAATCTAAGTGTCACATGATCTGTCACATGATCTCAGTATATATACACCTGTTCTGAAAGGCCCCAGAGTCTGCAACACCACTAAGCAAGGGGCACCACCAAGCAAGCAGCACCATGAAGACCAAGGGGCTCTCCAAACAGGTCAGGGACAAAGTTGTGGAGAAGTACAGATCAGGGTTGGGTTATAAACAAATATCTGAAACTTTGAACATCCCATGGAGCACCATTAAATCCATTATTAAAAATTGAGAGAATATGGCACCACAACAAACCTGCCAAGAGGGGGCCGCCCACCAAAACTCACGGACCAGGCAAGGACGGCATTAATCAGAGAGGCAACAAGAGACCGAAGATGACCCTGAAGGAGCTGCAAAGCTCCACAGCGGAGATTGGAGTATCTGTCCATAGGACCACTTTAAGCCGTACACTCCACAGAGCTGGGCTTTACGGAAGAGTGGCCAGAAAAAAGCCATCGCTTAAAGAAAAAAATAAGGAAACACGTTTGGTGTTCACCAAAAGGCATGTGGGAGACTCCCCATACATATGGAAGAAGGTACTCTGGTCAGATGAGACTAAAATTAAGCTTTTTGGCCATCAAGGAAAACGCTATGTCTGGCGCAAACCCAACACCTCTCATCACCCCGTAAACACCATCCCCACAGTGAAGCATGGTGGTGGCAGCATCATGCTGTGGCGATGTTTTTCATTGGCATGGACTGGGAAACTGGTCAGAATTGAAGGAATGATGGATGGCGCTAAATACAGGGAAATTCTTGAGGGAAACCTGTTTCAGTCTTCCAGAGATTTGAGACTGGGACGGCGGTTCACCTTCCAGCAGGACAATGACCCTAAGCATACTACTAAAGCAACACTTGAGTGGTTTAAGGGGAAACATTTAAATGTCTTGGAATGGCCTAGTCAAAGCCCAGACCTCAATCCAATTGAGAATCTATGTTATGACTTAAAGATTGCTGTACACCAGCGGAACCCATCCAACTTGAAGGAGCTGGAGCAGTTTTGCCTTGAAGAATGGGCAAAAATCCCAGTGGCTAGATGTGCCAAGCTTATAGAGACATACCCCAAGAGACTTGCAGCTGTAATTGCTGCAAAAGGTGGATTGACAAAGTATTGACTTTGGGGGGGTGAATAGTTATTGTTTGTTTCACAAGAAAATATATTTTGCATCTTCAAAGTGGTAGGCATGTTGTGTAAATCAAATGATACAACCCCCCCAAAAATCCATTTTAATTCCAGTTTGTAAGGCAACAAAATAGGAAAAATGCCAAGGGAGGTGAACACTTTTGCAAGCCACTGTATCACCTTTATTCATGTTATATTGTGCTTAGTACATGTTTTCTAAAGTTTATAACAAGGTTCTAACCTGGTGTGTGTGGTCTACCCCTTCCAGGTGGTTGCAGGCAACCAAGTCAATAATCTCAGGAACAAACACGCAAGCACTGACGGCCAAGGCAGACCTGCTCAAAGAGGAGGTGGATGAAGCTATGAACAAAATGGAACTCTGCAAGGTAAGTTTGCCGGACGTCCATTCTGCTATATGAATTTGGATAAATCACAGGCCTCAATCCCAAATGAATGTTAACTGCTCGCAGAAGAGGAAGTGGAAAATGGAATGTTTTGACAGAAGAACATAAGAGCAGAAGTGGACATTCCAACCTCTGTGACGTTGTGGCTGCTTGCTTTAGGAACAATGCCCAGTCAGCTGTGTGCATGAGTGCCTGCGTGTGTGAGCATTTTGTCTGTGTGTGTGTGTGTGTGCGCGCATGCGTGCATGTGGCGCCTCTGTGTGTGTTGCTGATTCAGTGTATTGTGTTTGTATGGAGTGGTGTGTGTCAGATCTTCTGTCCTGTGTGTTTTCCTTTCTCTGCTCTCCAATCCTGTTCAGCCCTGCTACCCTACAGCTCTACCCAGGCCCTGTCAACAGCAGACAGATTTTAGACACTGTGGAAGGCCTAATGGCCATACCCACTGCCAACACTAGCAGAGCAGCCACCTGAAATACATTGATTTGATTCTGATATAATGGAGACCAGAGAGGTGGATGGGTTTAGGTCGATAATAAAACAGGCATAGTGAAATTACTGTTGTTGTGATGATTTATCATTAAATGGATAACGTGTTGTTTTAAGTTTTAAATGTAAGTTCTGAGAGTTGGTTCTTCTCTGTCATCTGGTTGTAATGATCTCTTGTCTGTGCTCCTCTCTCTCAGGACCAACTGGCTGCAGACATGTACAATTTCTTCTCAAAGGAAGGGGACTATGCCCGCTACTATGTAATGGTGGGTGTGTGTGTGTGTGTGTGTGTACGTGCGTGGGTGTGTGGGAATGTTCACAGCTGTAGATTGACTGGGTGAGCAGTTGATTTTGTTTTTAGTCCTTCCTCTCATTGTTGACTGACACACTCCCTCTCTCTCTCCCCTCCACAATGTTATGTTGTGTTCCCAGCTCTTAGAGGCCCAAGCTGATTATCATAGAAAATCTCTGACTGTGCTGGAGAGTGTCCTGCCAACCATCCAAGCACAGCAAGGTACACTACACTCCTGCTCCCCCTCCAAACCCCTCACAGCCAGGTGCAGTACAACCCAGTCTTTTCTCCCTGTGCTGGTTGAACTTGCCCAGAAATTATCCTCCTCCAATCCTAGCCTTAACCATGATGGAGGGAAACGCCAGTACTACTTCAAATGTGTCTAGGGACAACTTCATCGTACTCCCCCCTAAAACTTCTCACAGCAAGAAACAGTGCATTCGGAAAGTATTCAGATCCCTTGACTTTTTCCACAATTTGTTACATTACAGCCTTATTCTAAAAATTGATTCAATTGTTTTTTTTCCCTCATCAATCTACACACCTACCCCATAATGACAAAGCAAAAACAGGTTTTTAGAAAGTTTAGCAAATGAATTGAAAATTAAAAACCTAAATATCACATTTACATAAGTATTCAGACCCTTTACTCAGTACTTTGTTGAAACACCTTTGGCAGCAATTACAGCCTCGAGTCTTCTTGGGTATGACGCTACAAGCTTGGCACACCAGTATTTGTTGCGTTTCTCCCATTCTTCTCTGCAGATCCTCTCAAGCTCTGTCAGGTTGGATGGGGAGCGTCGCTGCACAGCAAGAATTTTTTCACTTTCACCCTTTTTTCTCCCCAATTTCGTGATATCCGAATGGTAGTTAGTCTTGTCCCATCGCTGCAACTCCCCTACGGACTCAGGAGAGGCGAAGGTCGAGAGCCATGTGTCCTCCGAAACATGACCCTGCCAAGCCGCACTGCTTCTTGACACACTGCTCACGTTGTCAGCTTGCAGGTGCCCGGCCCGCCACAAGGAGTCGCTAGAGTGCGATGGGACAAGGAAATCCCGGCTGGTCAACCCCTCCCCCAACCCGGACGACGCTGGGCCAATTGTGCACCGCCTCATGGGTCTCCCGGTTAAGGCCGGCTGGGACCCTGGGATCGAACCCGGGTCTGTAGTGACGCCATAAGCACTGCGATGCAGTGCCTTAGACCGCTGCGCCACTCCCTCAATCCTGACTAGTCTCCCAGTCCCTGCCGCTGAAAAACATCCCCACAGCATGATGCTGCCACCACCATGCTTCACCGTAGGGATGGTGCCAGGTTTCCTCCAGACGTGACGCTTTGCATTCAGGCCAAAGAGTTCAATCTTGGTTTCATCAGACCAGAGAATCTTTTCTCATGGTCTGAGAGTTCTTTAGGTGCCTTTTGGCAAACTCCAAGCAGGCTGTCGTGCCTTTTTATTGAGGATTGGCTTCTATCTGGCCACTCTACCATAAAGGCCAGATTGGTGGAGTGGAGTGGCTTCCGTCTGGCCTGATTGGTGGAGTGCTGCAGAGATGGTTGTCCTTCTGGAAGGTTCTCCCATCTCCACAGAGGAGCTCTGGAGTTCTGTCAGAGTGACCATCGGGGTCTTGGTCACCTCCCTGACCAAGGCCCTTCTCTCCCGATTGCTCAGTTTGGCCAGGCGGCCAGCTCTAGGAAGAGTCTTGGTGGTTCCAAACTTCTCCCATTTAAGAATGATGGAGGCCACTGTGTTCTTGGGGACCTTCAATGCTGCAGACATTTTTTGATACCCTTTCCCTGATCTGTGCCTGGACACAATCCATATGGACAATTCCTTTGACCTCATGGCTTGGTTTTTGCTCTGACATGCACTGTCAACTGTGGGATCTTATATAGACAGGTATGTGCCTTTCCAAATCATGTCCAATCAATTGAATTTACCACAAGTGGACTCCAATGAAGTTGAAGAAACATCTCAAGGATGATCAATGGAAACAGGATTCACCTGAGCTCAATTTCGAGTCTCATAGCAAAGGGTCTGAATACTTATGTAAATAAGGTATTTCTGTTTTTTCAACAAACAAAAAAACTTTTCGCTTTGTCATTATTGAGTATTGTGTGTAGGTTGATGAGGAAAAGTGTTTATTTAATACATTTTAGAATAAGGCTGTAACGTAACAAAATGTGGAAAAAGTCAAGGGGTCTGAATACTTTACGAATGCACTGTACAGACCAATCCTCACATCCTTTAAAAAAAAAACAATTTTTCTCCCCACCCCCCTCTAGCCACATAAAGGTTTAACTGAGCGTGATACAGGAACTCTGTCCATCAGTACATTAACCAAAACAACTAATTCCTATAATTTACAGTGTTAAATAACACTGTGCGAACACATTTTTTTGTTAACAAATGTTTCATTTTGTCGTTATAATAAGATTGGTAGCAACGTGAAAATCGTTGTGGAAGTCTTTTGCAGCTCAAGTCGACTACAAAACTCACAATACAATGCTCTCACTATGGGCTAGCTAGCTAGCAAACGTAGCTGCACACAATAATACTGAAATCAATATCAGCATGTGAAGTTGCTAGTTATCTGTAAAATCGTTTAAACAAACTGCACTATCAATTTAGGAGTCTACAATCTCACCATGTTCAACCACAGATCGTGTGCCTCGCAGAGTGGATTCATTCGCAACGGCCATGCAACAGCAGCATGCAATGCAACTGTCACGGTTTCGGCCGAGGCGGCTCCTTCTCCTTGTTCGGGCAGGCTTCGGCGGTCGTCGTCTCCGGAGTACTAGCTGCCACCGTTCGATGTTTCATGTTAGATTGGTTTTGTCTGTTTGTCACACCTGTTCATTGTTAAGTGTTCATTAGGCACCCTATTTAGTTCTCTTGTGTTTGGTCAGGTGTTGTGTGTAATTGTTCGATGTCACGTGTTGTTGTTGGTCCGCTGTTCTGTGCTCTCTGTATTTCGTTTTGTTTAAGAGAGTCCTGCACGTTGTGCGCATTTACTTTGGACATTCCAGTGTGCGTATGTTTCGCCTGTGGCCTGTTGCCGTGTTGGCTTGTACTGTCGGACTTCACTAAAGACATCTGTTCTTTGAATCTCTGTGTCCTGCGTGTGATTCCACGTTCCCTCTACACTCAACCCTGACAGCAACCTGGACTGAAGAGGCAGAAAAATAGGAGAAATGTGGTGGACCCTCTGCTAATTTATAAATTTGTCGAGGTAGGAATATCACAAAAATATGATCAATGGCTCATTCAAGAGAAAACAACCTCCCGCGTTATGACATCGGCCAGTATTGAAATCTGACATGTATGATAGACGTTTTCGCAATCTAAAAGTAATCTACCGTACAAAATAATGAGATACCAAACCCATTCACAGGGTTGGTTAACTCTTCAGATTCCTCGAGTCTCCACAGAATTAGGTAAATCCGCTTTTAGTTTTCACGCTCCACATTTTTGGAATCCCTTACAAAATGAATTACATTTGAATTCCCTGGTGCCACTAGGGCAGTTTAAAACCCTGATGATAAATGAGTTCACCGAGGTGTGCAATTGTTTTGATTGATTGAATAACTTGTTTATGATGGCTGATGTTCTAATGTAACGTGCTTTTTATTGTATCTTCTTATATTTTTGTATTTTTTACTTTATGGTCTCAGGGCACCATTCAAAGTGGTCTCAATTGGACTACCCTGATTTAAATAAAAGTTCATTTGTAAAAAAATTAAAATAAAATGCTATGTCATACCAGCTGTAATTCTGCCTGCGTAAACGGCAAGAGCTCAGATACACATGAAAACGAAATGACCCTCAGGATCGATAGAACATCATTCAGAGATGCCCAAAAACGATATAACATTCAAAATGGGTGAATCTTTCCTTTAATTTGATGTCTATTCATTTATTTCACCCTGCCGGCTAGTCTACAGCTGTTTGCATCTTGTTGTTTTATTTGTTAGGCCACTTCAATCACTTATAACTATATTAAAACGCCACATCAACCGTCTCTCAGTCAAGGTAAATGCTTATTTTTCTCAAGGATGGCTGAATGCAACTGGCAGGCTGTGTCAAATAGAGAATGACTTATTGTTTCTGTAGGACTGAAAAGGTTTACAGGGAAGCCATTTATTTTGGTATCTCCACTCTCTCTTTTTAGTATGGTCGTCCTCCCTCTCTCTTCTCCCTGTCTGTAAAGCTGTGTCCTGTAAACTTGTTTTTCTCTAGTAAACAGAACACATTTGGTCTAAATCAGACAGCCTTGCTCTCAGCATGTAGGTTATGATGACTCAAAGTCAAACACTCCACACTATTTACAGCTCACGTCAGACCTACCTGGGCTTTCCTTTCTACAGAGTGCACAGACACTCACCAACACATACCATGGATGGAGACCATTTGGTTATTAGTTACACCTAGCTTTATTGAAGGAGGGAGTGACTGATGGTAGGCCAGAGGGGACATTGTCGACCTAGAAATCTACCATTCACAGTCCCAGGCCTCCCAACCTCTCATCCACACACTGCTCTTCCTGGGGTGACTACCTACCACCCTCTCTCGCTGCAGACCTGTAACAACTTCAAATCAAATTTGTATTTGTCACATGCGCCGAATACAACAGGGTAGACCTTACAGTGAAATGCTTACTTACAAGCCCTTAACCAACAATGCAGTTTTAAGAAAAACTACTTTAGTGTTGTTACCACCATGCTTAGTGCTACCGCTTTCTCTCTCTCCCGTCAGACTCGTGGACGGAGAAGCCTGCGTTTGGGACGGGGCTGGAGGAGCATCTGAAGAGGAGTAGCAGAGAGATCGCTCTGCCCTTAGAGGCCTGTGTCATGATGCTGCTGGAGACTGGCATGAAGGAGGAGGTAGGGAGATGGAGGGAAGCATTGGAGAGAGAGGGGGAGAAAGGAGGGGGATCATAGTAAGTTGAGGACTAAGATATGTCATTATTGATGGGTGAATGGAATACTAGGATGGATGAAATGGATTGAACCCATGCAGTGGACCCAAACACGAAACATAAAATGCACTTAAAAACTGGTCCTAAACATAATTGAACCAATCAATTTGAAATGTTTACAAACATGAACATGAGAAGAGACGGGACGAAAACATTCAAATCTGCTGCAATTTTCTGAGTTATTTTCACTTGTTAGAAATGTCAGCAATTATGCTGTGATTCCGATTTATTAGGATGCTATGTTTGTGTTTGCACGGTTTTAGAATACAACAGAATGTCTCTTGGTGGTCATAATAAATCAGCTGTGTGTTTATTCTTGCCTGTCTTTAGTTCTCACCACATTGTTTGTCTTCCCATTCATTCTATGGGTGAACACAACACAGTCAGTGTGGTGAGAAGAGAAGGACAGTTTGTTTGGGAGGAAGAGAGTAGAGGTGTTTGTGTGTGTGAGGTTCTGTGTGTGTGTGTTTGCGCGCATGTGAGAGAGGTGAGTGATGTGTGTTTGCATTTGTGTGTGTGAATGAGTACATGGTTGGGTGTCTGTGTAGTTATTAAAGGAGAATTTTAGCTTTTTTACAACCAAATCTCTATTTTTGGATTGAATGGCATGTTTATTTTTTTGCGATTTGTGGTGGATATTTTAATCAGGCTTCGTGTTCTAAGAGTTCAGTTATCCTTCCCCTTGCAGACATTATTTTAGTATTTTCCTTCAACCAAAAAAGTCGGCGTCTTTTCTTGTCTATCTTACTACGACGTTCTCCCATTCTCACTCAATTTCCTTTACAATCATTCCATTTATTTAATTATTTGTATTTTAACAATGTTGTTCAAACCTATTTTAAAGTCTTACTTAAATCCTATCTACTGTTTTCTATGAAAACAAAACACTTCACTCAGTCACCAGCCTATTTCATTTGACACATAATTATCCCATTTATTTACTGCTCTCCTATTTCTACCTAATCTGTCACGGTTCTCTCTTCAATACACACACTCATTTTATTGGTTATTAATCTTATCCTTTACAGTCTAAGAATTAACAATCCACACTCTCCTCATTCACACGGGAGGCTATTCCTCCTGTCAAAAAGGTTAGTCATTCACACTTATTCTCTCATACAGTGAGTGAGGGAAAAAAGTATTTGATCCCCTGCTGATTTTGTACGTTTGCCCACTGACAAAGAAATGATCAGTCTATAATTTTAATGGTAGGTTTATTTGAACAGTGAGAGACAGAATATCAACAAAAAAATCCAGAAAAACGCATGTCAAAAATGTTATAAATTGATTTTCATTTTAATGAGGGAAATAAGTATTTGACCCCTCTGCAAAACATGACTTAGTACTTGGTGGCAAAACCCTTGTTGGCAATCACAGAGGTCAGACGTTTCTTGTAGTTGGCCACCAGGTTTGCACACATCTCAGGAGGGATTTTGTCCCACTCCTCTTTGCAGATCTTCTCCAAGTCATTAAGGTTTCGAGGCTGACGTTTGGCAACTCGAACCTTCAGCTCCCTCCACAGATGTTTCTATGGGATTAAGGTCTGGAGGCTGGCTAGGCCACTCCAGGACCTTAATGTGCTTCTTTTTGAGCCACTCCTTTGTTGCCTTGGCCGTGTGTTTTGGGTCATTGTCATGCTGGAATACCATCCACGACCCATTTTCAATGCCCTGGCTGAGGGAAGGAGGTTCTCACCCAATATTTGACGGTACATGGCCCCGGCCATTGTCCCTTTGATGCGGTGAAGTTGTCCTGTCCCCTTAGCAGAAAAACACCCCCAAAGCATAATGTTTCCACCTCCATGTTTGACGGTGGGGATGGTGTTCTTGGGGTCATAGGCAGCATTCCTCCTCCTCCAAACACGGCGAGTTGAGTTGATGCCGAAGAGCTCGATTTTGGTCTCATCTGACCACAACACTTTCACCCAGTTCTCCTCTGAATCATTCAGATGTTCATTGGCAAACTTCAGACGGGCATGTATATGTGCTTTCTTGAGCAGGGGGACCTTGCGGGCGCTGCAGGATTTCAGTCCTTCACGGCGTAGTGTGTTACCAATTGTTTTCTTGGTGACAATGGTCCCAGCTGCCTTGAGATCATTGACAAGATCCTCCCGTGTAGTTCTGGGCTGATTCCTCACCATTCTCATGATCATTGCAACTCAACGAGGTGAGATCTTGCATGGAGCCCCAGGCTGAGGGAGATTGACAGGTCTTTTGTGTTTCTTCCATTTGCGAATAATCGCACCAACTGTTGTCACCTTCTCACCAAGCTGCTTGGTGATGGTCTTGTAGCCCATTCCAGCCTTGTGTAGGTCTACAATCTTGTCCCTAACATCCTTGGAGAGCTCTTTGGTCTTGGCCATGGTGGAGAGTTTGGAATCTGATTGATTGCTTCTGTGGACAGGTGTCTTTTATACAGGTAACAAGCTGACATTAGGAGCACTCCCTTTAAGAGTGTGCTCCTAATCTCAGCTCGTTACCTGTATAAAAGACACCTGGGAGCCAGAAATCTTTCTGATTGAGAAGGGGTCAAATACTTATTTCTCTCATTAAAATGCAAATCAATTTATAACATTTTTGACATGTGTTTTTCTGGATTTTTTTGTTGTTATTCTGTCTCTCACTGTTCAAATAAACCTACCATTAAAATGATAGATTGATCATTTCTTTGTCAGTGGGCAAACGTACAAAATCAGCAGGGGATCAAATACTTTGCATGTTCAACACACCACTGTACAGTATTCAACTCTCACTTCTCTATACTCATAGCTCTCAGGCTACATAGACATTTATCCTATGCCTACAAACAGTACTGCCAATGCCAAATCCCCTCTCTGGGATTTAGGATCCTTGTCACCTACTTTTATTTTCACTACAAATTCATTTTTAAATTGACTTACTGAAATTCAGTGGGTTGTCATGTTCAGATTCGTGAATGTGGTGTGTTCCCCCAGGCAGTCATCAGTGGAAGTCTGGTCAGGGCGGGTCCACATTGTCTTTGGTCGGACAGATATTTCCCTCACTCTCCCACGGAGAGTGCCACCGGTGTCTCCTTCGCAGACCTTCACTGATGCTCTCCCCAGACAGAATCACATATCCTCACATTCGGAAAGAAAAAACAGTTATAACGAATTCCTTAGGGGGGTTTCTAAGTGTGTGTTATCTTATCAACTGGGAAGCAACTGTTTCTCCCTCAAAATATTGCTCTATTAATTTCTGCAATGGCGGGTTTTGTACCCAGATTCTATTTTCCCTTACACTAACAATCGTGGTCTGTCGAATGTATGTCTACCTGCTTCCCACCGGGTCCATACCGTTCTGAGCATCCACTAATCAATTTGGAACCTTCTATAATGTATTGCTAGCCTATCTTTATGGTCTGCAATTTCAACCTCAGGGTTTGTATAATAATAATAATAATAATAATAATAATAATAATAATAATAATATGCCATTTAGCAGACGCTTTTATCCAAAGCGACTTACAGTCATGTGTGCATACATTTTTACATATGGGTGGTCCCGGGGATCGAACCCACTACCCTGGCGTTACAAGTGCCATGCTCTACCAATTGAGCTACAGAGGACCTACACCTCACTATAGTCAACTGTGGCATTACCTTATTTCTATTTACAGTGGGAGAACAAGTATTTGATACACTGCCGATTTTGCAGGTTTTCCTACTTACAAAGCATGTAGAGGTCTGTCATTTTTATCATAGGTACACTTCAACTGTGAGAGACGGAATCTAAAACAAAAATCCGGAAAATCACATTGTATGGTTTTTAAGTAATTAATTTGCATTTTATTGCATGACATAAGTATTTGATCACCTACCAACCAGTAAGAATTCCGGCTCTCACAGACCTGTTAGTTTTTCTTTTAAGAAGCCCTCCTGTTCTCCACTCATTACCTGTATTAACTGCACCTGTTTGAACTCGTTACCTGTATAAAAGACACCTGTCCACACACTCAATCAAACAGACTCCAACCTCTCCACAATGGCCAAGACCAGAGAGCTGTGTAAGGACATCAGGGATAAAATTGTAGACCTGCACAAGGCTGGGATGGGCTACAGGACAATAGGCAAGCAGCTTGGTGAGAAGGCAACAACTGTTGGCGCAATTATTAGAAAATGGAAGAAGTTCAAGATGACGGTCAATCACCCTCGGTCTGGGGCTCCATGCACAAGGGCACATTTACGTCATTTAGCAGACGCTCTTATCCAGAGCGACTCACCAATTGGTGCGTTCACCCTATAGCCAGTAGGATAACCACTTTACAATTTGGGGGGGGGGGGGGGGGTAGAAGGATTACTTTATCCTATCCCAGGTATTCCTTAAAGAGGTGGGGTTTCAAATGCCTCCGGAAGGTGGTGAGTGACTCCGCTGTCCTGGCGTCGTGAGGGAGCTTGTTCCACCATTGGGGTGCCAGAGCAGCGAACAGTTTTGACTGGGCTGAGCGGGAACTATGCTTCCGCAGAGGAAGGGGAGCCAGCAGGCCAGAGGTGGATGAACGCAATGCCCTCGTTTGGGTGTAGGGACTGATCAGAGCCCGAAGGTACAGAGGTGCCGTTCCCCTCACTGCTCCATAGGCAAGCACCATGGTCTTGTAGCGGATGCGAGCTTCAACTGGAAGCCAGTGGAGTGTGCGGAGGAGGGGGGTGACGTGAGAGAACTTGGGAAGGTTGAACACCAGACGGGCTGCGGCATTCTGGATGATTGTAGGGGTTTATGGCACAGGCAGGGAGGCCAGCCAACAGCGAGTTGCAGTAGTCCAGACGGGAGATGACAAGTGCCTGGATTAGGACCTGTGCCGCTTCCTGTGTAAGGCAGGTCGTACTCTCCGAATGTTGTAGAGCATAACCTGCAGGAGCGGGTCACCGCCTTGATGTTGGCGGAGAACGACAGGGTGTTGTCCAGGGTCACGCCTAGGCTCTTCGCACTCTGGGAGGAGACACAGCGGAGTTGTCAACGTGATGGCGAATCATGGAACGGCAGCCTTCCCCGGGAGGAAGAGCAGCTCCGTCTTGCCAGGGTTCAGCTTGAGTGGTGATCCGTCATCCATACTGATATGTCTGCCAACATGGCAAACTTCAGACGGGCCTGGACTGCGCTGGCTTGAGCAGGGGGACCTCACCTCGTGGGGCATCAATGATCAATGATCATGAGGAAGTGAGGGATCAGCCCAGAACTACACGGCAGGACCTGGTCAATGACCTGAAGAGAGCTGGGACAACAGTCTCAAAGAAAACCATTAGTAACACACTACGCCGTCATGGATTAAAATCCTGCAGCGCACGCAAGGTCCCCCTGCTCAAGCCAGCGCATGTCCAGGCCCGTCTGAAGTATGCCAATGACCATCTGGATGATCCAGAGGAGGAATGGGAGAAGGTCATGTGGTCTGATGAGACAAAAATAGAGCTTTTTGGTCTAAACTCCACTCGCGGTGTTTGGAGGAAGAAGAAGGATGAGTACAACCCCAAGAACACCATCCCAACCGTGAAGCATTGAGGTGGAAACATCAGTCTTTGGGGATGCTTTTCTGCAAAGGGGACAGGACGACTGCACCGTATTGAGGGGAGGATGGATGGGGCCATGTATCGCGAGATCTTGGCCAACAACCTCCTTCCCTCAGTAAGAGCATTGAAGATGGGTCGTGGCTGGGTCTTCCAGCATGACAACGACCCGAAACACACAGCCAGGGCAACTAAGGAGTGTCTCCGTAAGAAGCATCTCAAGGTCCTGGAGTGGCCTAGCCAGTCTCCAGACCTGAACCCAATAGAACATCTTTGGAGGGAGCTGAAAGTCCGTATTGCCCAGCAACAGCCCCAAAACCTGAAGGATCTGGAGAAGGTCTGTATGGAGGAGTGGGCCAAAATCCCTGCTGCAGTGTGTGCAAACCTGGTCAAGACCTACAGCAGGGTTCTTCAATTCCTGGAAGTTAATTGCACTCACCTGGTGTCCCATGTCTGAATTAGCCCCTGATTAGAAGGAGAGGATGAAAAACAGAGGTGTTTCGGCCCTCCAGGACCGGAATTGAAGAACCCTGACCTACAAGAAACGTATGATCTCTGTAATTGCAAACAAAGGTTTCTGTACCAAATATTAAGTTCTGCTTTTCTGATGTATCAAATACTTATGTCATGCAATAAAATGCAAATTAATTACTTAAAAATCTTACAATGTGATTTTCTGGACTTTTGTTTTAGATTCCATCTCTCACAGTTGAAGTGTACCTATGATAAAAATTACAGACCTCTACATGCTTTGTAAGTAGGAAAACCTACAAAATCGGCAGTGTATCAAATACTTGTTCTCCCCACTGTAACTCTTACTGATCTATTAGGGCTATCTGTTGGCTGTGGACCTCAATTCTACAAAAATCATTTCTAAAATGGGGTTTGGTTTAAAACAATCACAGGTGCACCTTACTATTTTATAGTTGTTTTCTACTATATATATATATATATATATATATATATTTTATAACCTGCAGGAATATTTTCCCATTTCTATCTCAGGAGATGTACAGGGAAACATTCACAATAACATCTAACAATAGTAACCCAGGGCATACCTGTTTACCTCATTAACAAAACATTTGATCAATTACATACACGTTATAATTTGAACTTCACCAAGTCAGATGCCCTCGCAAGGTGTCACCTGCACTCTAGTTCTTCATTCAATACATTAACCTCACCACTCCTACTGTGATCAACCCAGTACTACCCCTGGACTTTTGGCAGCCCGCAACTGGCAAATTAACAATTATGTCCAAGGATACCTCCCTTAAGAACATTCTTATCAACTCAACAAAGTCCTGATAGTTACCTCAGCTGTGGCCCTCTTAAGGAAGACCTCGCTCTGTTTTTATTTTTTCTTATCTTGTCATCACTTATTGAAAGATTGTCCAAGCTCACCTCTCTCAGTAATATGTTCGGGATCTGGCATCCACCCGCCCCCGCTTCCTCTCAGATCATAGGCGGGTCCAGCTGCTCTACAGGAGCGTGGTTTTCCCTGTGGACAGTTTACCCAGATCTTCAGGAGCGGTCAACAGGTGAAGTGCAGATCCCATCCTCGTCGCCAAATGTGGTGGATATTTTAATCAATAATGAGGAGAGACAAGGTCAATCACCAATCAGAATATTAACTTTATTAAAAACGTATCGATAAGCGAGCTCAACAAGCAGGAAATGCTGACGTCTTTTATAGTGGACCTAAAAATGCTTAGTCATGGCTGGTTCCACCCCTCCCCGGCAGATCAGGCGCGCTACCTTGTCTTCTTCTTGTGTCTTCTTCTTGTGGCTATGTGTATCGGGTCATAGCGCACAAACAAGTGAAAACGTTAGTTCCGTTACTGCTCATATCTCCACACAACTGTGCTCTTGGAAGAGAATAAAAGACGGGATGAACTGTAAAACTGTGGTCACTCTGAGGCTCTTTGTCTCATGCCGTGTGACCAGGTTACTCAGAAGCAACAAGAACTTGAAACAATACAGGTCTATCTATTCCTCAAGTTTATCTCTATCCCATGTCCTTGACTACACGCCCACAGCAGCTGCAGGGAGCTAGAGTGTTGCAGGTCTTTTAGATGTTGTAGACATACAATTGTGTAATTCTGAAATGTATCCGCAACGTTATATTCCATTATGTTTTTGCGACTTGAACGATACCGCTCTGTCCATTCTAGCAGCAGGCTACACAGTGGAACTGCTGGATAGGGTAAACTGCTCGAGTCGTACAAAATGGAATATAACGTTGCGGATAAAGTTCGGAATGACACAATTTCATGTGTACAACATTTAAAACCTGTATCACTATACTGAGAGCGTTTCCGTTTCTAAAAGGACGTATTTGGGTGTTTTTGGGGCATTTGTTAATGTTCTGTCAGAGCCCCCGTACTGCACAATGAGGATGATGAAGTGTATCGCTGGTTGGGGTATGTAAAAAAACAAAACAAGTGAAATCGCCAAAAAAGTGTCTGGACCCTTCTAGAACATTGCATTTACATAAAACAGATTTGGTTGTAAAAAAAGCAAACTTCTCCTTTTAAGCATTGTTTGCGGACTGTGTGTCTGTCTCATCAATCGTGTCTCTGTGTTGTTGTATCAGGGCCTGTTTAGGATCGCAGCAGGGGCCTCTAAACTGAAGAAGCTCAAGGCTGCTCTGGACTGTTCCACGTCACAGCTGGAGGAGTTTTACTCAGACCCCCACGCTGTCGCTGGTATGGTCCTAACCCCCACTCACGTTTTATACATGTTAACGTTTTATACATGTTTCAGCAAGTGTTTTCAAGTAATATAACTGAAATGACTGTCAGACCATTCCTCACATAACTGTCCTTTGATTCCAGGAGCCCTGAAGTCTTACCTGAGAGAACTGCCTGAACCTCTGATGAGCTTCCAGCTTTACGACGAGTGGATTCAGGCGTCTAAGTAAGCCACCACACACAGTCTTCTTCAATAGCTGTAAAAGGAAGTGTAACCAAGTAAAGCAGTAATAAAATAAAGGAGAAGTAGTAGAAATGAAGTTAAAAAAAGGAGTGACATTATGGCAACCATGAAACAGGTCCGTGATTGTCTCTCTGTCTCTCTGCCCAGTGTTTCAGAGCCAGACAAGCGTCTGCAGGCCCTATGGGTTGTGTGTGATCAACTACCGAAGAACAACAAAGCCAACCTAAGGTGGGTAACAGATGGACTGGTTCACACAACTTTGCTTCACAATAAAGATGTGTGTAGTATGAAGATATGTTACCCTGTTTCTTAGAATCTAATGTTTGCCTTACCTGTGCCTGTCTCTGTGTCCTGTGCTGTAGGTATCTGGTGAAGTTCCTGTCCAAGCTGGCTCAGGACAGTGATGTCAACAAGATGACCCCTAGCAACATCGCCATTGTACTGGGACCAAACATGCTGTGGGCCAAAACAGAGGGGTGAGAAAGGGGGAGAGATAGGGGGAGTTACTTACTGTTCAAACTGGAAAAACAAATGTTTATGTTCACAAGTTGGTGTCAAAATCGTGTAGTGTTTGTCTATAACATGTCTGCTCTCATCTGTGCCTGCAGGACTCTAGCTGAGATGGCTGCTGCTACCTCTGTTCACGTGGTGACCATCATAGAACCCATCATACAGCACGCTGACTGGTTCTTCCCTGAGGGTATGTACATATGACCTTTGACCCTTCCGCTTTGACTGGGTCCATAGGAGGGTGGTCCTTGGTCTCCTGTGTACAGGATCATGAACAATGGAAGCTGGAATGTCATCAGAATGCTCTTTCAGTGGTATACATCTGATTCCCAGGCTACTCAAAAATATGGATCTGTTTGTTTTTAAATGGCGCCTAAAGGAATTCTACTTGCCTGTTCTCCACCTTTGCACAGATGTGGAGTTTAATGTATCGGGGATGTTCGCCATGCCCACCCCTCCTTCCAACCACTCAATGGAGTACGACTGTTCCACCATCGAGAGGAAGAGGCCTGGTAGCATGGTGGGGCCAGAGAACGATATCCCTCGCAAGGACAGGTAACCATCAACAGCAGCTAGGGCTGTTACTTACGGTGACCGTATTACCGCCACACCGGCGGTCACGAGTCATGAAGGCAGTCAAATTCGATGTGACCGCTTAGTCACGGTAATTAGGCTTCTCCAAGCGCTGATGCTGCTGATGGTCATTAGTAGCCTACCTAACTTGCTAACTGCCTGGTACTCAGCACTCTATTGTCCCTCTAATCACTCTGACATCAATGGAAATGAATTGAAAATCAAACACTTCATGAGAGCCCATGAGCTCATGTTGTGCAACATTTCTATAGGCTATGCAATTGCTTGATAAAACAGAGTGATGGCCTCTATTAAAAGAGGAGGATCCCATCAGCTTTCTATAGGCTAGGCCTATATTTATTTCTCAACTTTCCTAATATTAAACACATTGCTTCTCTTTACAACAGGAGTATAGCCTACCTGGCTGGCACGAAAATGAACCACAGGAAAAGCGTCCTCCATTCGCTATTTAAGTGCATAGATGACATGTATTTTTTCCCCTGCCCCTGTTTTGAGACAGGTGCATGATAATGGTCCATTCTAAATCAAAACAAATTTCACACATATATTATTTAGTGTATGTAAAGACAAGATTAAATCAAGAGTAGTCTGATGGGTGACAATATTAGCCTATCACTTGTTAATGATATATTATCACTTGTGAATGATGCGCAGCGTAAGGCAAGAAACAATGCATACCTTTTTTTTAGCGACTTTTTCCAATCATAGTAGCATACCTCATGTAGCCTAGCCCATAGGCCTATATGTTCTGATAAGGTTTGTATCACAACTAAAGTGATCAAATAACTTAAAATTAAGCACATTAATCCGCTTTACAACAGATTTAGAGCCTAACTGGCATACATATGCAGCGTGTGAGTTTCAAATTTGGGAGAAGATAATTTTCACCATAAAAATGCACCAATAAAAGCATAACATGCATAATCGCATTTGCGGTCACTTTTGATAATGGTGTTTTCCCGCTAATGGGACATTCGCACTTATAGCCTACTGCCGTGTGAGCATTGCTGCGCTTATAATGTGAAGAAATAGCCTAATAGTTTATCAACATTTTAAGCTAAATGTTGTGATCTGTTGCGTCAGCCTCATTGCGTAAAAAAGTTTTTTTTGATGCTAGTGGTTGTATTAATTAGGGATCTATCACATCCCACAACTGTCCCAGACTATGTTTGGAATATTTATTTCTCGCACAGAATAGAATAGGTCAACTTTTGTACAATAGGGGATAGTAGATTGTGCTTTTGCTTTTGCTGTTCGTTAGGCCTACTCATCTTGTTTGCCGAAAAGTAAATGTGGACAGTTCTTCCAATATCTTCAATATGCGCCTTGGAATTGGATAAGGACACGCTCAGTTGCGTCCCCGATGTGTCTGTTTTCACTTGTAGCCTGTGAGAAAGACCCGATCACGTGACTGAGAGCCATGTGAGTGAGAGGTGCTTTGGAGCAAGCAGCACACAGGGAGAAGGGAATTATAATTATTATATTCAGGCCAAGGGCACAACAGCCACTGGCCCAAAAGGCATGGATTTTTTTAGGGGGCATTACGGCCACACAAAGGGGATGCCGCCGGGAAATTCGAGGCATTATCAAGTGCTTGTCAAATTGTGAATGAGAGACTGATGAAGTGTGTACAGCCTGCGCAAAAAAACAAAGCAGAGCTCATGCCTTTCATGCTACTTTTTTCAAATCATCATTAGTCGCATCATGCAGCCTTAGAATGTATTAAAAATCAAAACATATAGCCCAACATTTGTATCACAACTAAAGTTACATAAATAACTCTAAATTAAGCATATAGGAGTAGCTGTTTATTTGTTAACCGTTTAACACAGAATAGCTGCATGTGTGTACTCCCTCAAATCGTTTGGAGAAAATATCCTTTCTATTTTATTCAATTGTATTCTTCATACTATAAAATACTACGGAATTCTAAGCAAATCTTGTGTGCTAAATGAACTAGTGTAGCCCACAGCCATATGGCATAGCCAGATCAGTACGTAACATAAGGACAACTCAGAGTATGCTATTCTGTTCTTCTGAAATAGACTACATTTTGTTCATATCATGTTTCTTTAGACCTGTCTAAAATAAATAATGGATTTATTGTGAAGGTGTAGACTATATTACATGGATTTATGTATGACTATTTTAAATGTAGATGTTCCAAAGGTCTGCATCAGTGGCTTGTAGGCAATGCGTGGAAGCCAGAAGATGCTAAATGTGTTTATTAACAGTCAGAAAATTGTGTGACCGCCACAGCCCTAACAGCAGCACCCCATCACTACTAGCTCCATCCCTCTACTTGGAACTGCCATGGGGTGAAAGGTCAAGGACAGAACCTATACCTGCCAATGCTCTGAGCTGAGGATATGCTATTTAAATCAAAATGATTTTCACTTGTATAACTCAACCATTAATACATTAATTTACACTTTGAATGTTTGGTTTGATTGGTAGCTCTGCTGATTATCACTACTTACATGGGGGTCTTTTTTAAGTGTATTTCTGGATGTCTTGTTTAGTGCTATAGGCTTCTAGTTGCTTCTAGTTTATCTTTGTGGCTTTAGACTACAAATCTACATAACATCCCTTTTGACTATTTGGTTTGGAGTATCTCTCGCTCTCTTTCTCACGCTCTCTCTCTACAGTCGTGGTCAAAAGTTTTGAGAATGACACAAATACTAATTTTCACAAAGTCTGCTGCCTCAGTTTTGATGATGGCAATTTGCATATACTCCAGAATGTCCTGAAGAGTGATCAGATGAATTGCAATTAATTGCAAAGTCCCTCTGCCATGAAAATGAACTTAATTCCCAAAGAACATTTCCACCTGCATTTCAGCCCTGCCACAAAAGGACCAGCTGCCATCATGTCAGTGATTCTCTCGTTAACACAGGTGAGAGTGTTGACAAGGCTGGAGATCGCTCTGTCATGCTGTTTGAGTTAGAATAACAGACTGGAAGCTTTAAAAGGAGGGTGGTGCTTGAAATCATTGTTCTTCCTCTGTTAACCATTGTTACCTGCAAGGAAACACGTGCCGTCATCATTGCTTTGCACAAAAAGGGCTTCACAGGCAAGGATATTGCTGCTAGTAAGATTGCACCTAAATCAACCATTTATCGGATCATCAAGAACTTCAAGGAGAGAGGTTCAATTGTTGTGAAGAAGCCGTCAGGGCGCCCAAGAAAGTCCAGCAAGCGCCAGGACCGTCTCCTAAAGTTGTTTCAGCTGCGGAATCGGGGCACCACCAGTGCAGAGCTTGCTCAGGAATGGCAGCAGGCAGGTGTGAGTGCATCTGCACGCACAGTGAGGCGAATACTTTTGGAGGATGGCCTGGTGTCAAGAAGGGCAGCAAAGAAGCCACTTCTCTCCAGGAAAAACATCAGGGACAGACTGATATTCTGCAAAAGGTACAGGGATTGGACTGCTGAGGACTGGGGTAAAGTCATTTTCTCTGATGAATCCCCTTTCCGATTGTTTGGGGCATCCGGAAAACCACTTGTCCGGAGAAGACAAGGTGAGCGCTACCATCCGTCCTGTGTCATGCCAACAGTAAAGCATCCTGAGACCATTCATGTGTGGGGTTGCTTCTCAGCCAAGGGAGTGGGCTCACTCACAATTTTGCCTAAGAACACAGCCATGAATAAAGAATGGTACCAACACATCCTCCGAGAGCAACTTCTCCCAACCATCCAAGAACTGTTTGGTGACGACCAATGCCTTTTCCAGCATGATGGAGCACCTTGCCATAAGGCAAAAGTGATAACTAAGTGGCTCGGGGAACAAAACATCGAAATATTGGGTCCATGGCCAGGAAACTCCCCAGACCTTAATCCCATTGAGAACTTGTGGACGATCCTCAAGAGGCAGGTGGACAAACAAAAACCCACAAACTCCAAGCATTGATTATGCAAGAATGGACTGCCATCAGTCAGGATGTGGCTCAGAAGTTAATTGACAGCATGCCAGAGCAGATTGCAGAGGTCTTGGAAAAAGAAGGGTCAACACTGCAAATATTGACTCTTTGCATAAACTTAATGTAATTGTCAACTTAATGTAATTGTCAATTGTCAACTTAATGTAATTGACACTTATGGAATGCTTGTAATTATACTTCAGTATACCATAGTAACATCTGACAAAAATATCTAAAAACACTGAAGCAGCAAACTTTGTGAAGACCAATACTTGTGTCATTCTCAAAGCTTTTGACCACGACTATACTCTGGGACTTGGTGATTCTGTCCTGTCGCCCTGGTTTCTTTCTCAATGTGGCTCTGCCGTCTGTCTGTCCTCTCTCCTCTCTGTAGTTTTGCTAACAAACTGTCGGACCATAACACCGTCCCCCGTAGAGGCAGCAACACCTTAGGTAGAAAGCAGCATGCTTCACCTGCCTTCCAGCCCCCCTTACCCCCGGTGGAGACCCCAGGGCCTGGGCAGGTCACAGGGTGCATGGCTGAGCTCCAGGCCCCACTGGGGGGCATGCCGTTGGAGGGCTGCCAGCCTAGCCTGGCACTGGGTATGGCTGCCCTGGTGGCAGCGCAGCAGCTTCTAGCTACTACCGCTGAGGAACTCAGGTAAGGGTGTGTAGTGCACTGGGGAGCACAGACACGCATGCCACTCCACTGCATGGGAAGGAAATACCCTTTTGCCTGCAACCTTTGATGATAAATTGTTGATAAGTGTGTGTGCACTGTTTATGTTGTCACTGCTCTTGTACAAATATATACGATTTATGGTAATTTTAATGCAAAAAAAATTGTTTTATTTGAGTGGAAAATGACTACAGAGCATAGAAAATGTTGAAGTGACCACATGGGTTTCTGCCTCACTTATTATTTTCCTAGAGTGTTTCTCTCACTGTCTAACTGCATTTTCCTCAAACAACTAACAAGTAATCATTATAATAACACTGTGGGTACATCTCCGTTCAGACCACTGGCTCTGTACAACAATGGTTTGTGTGAGCCAGCCATCCTCAGAGGGCCCTCCTCACGCCTCTGCTCTCAGGCTAGAACACATGAATCAGCAGAAATGTTGTTTGGCCATTAGTTCTGTCCTCTCATTGAGCTTATGTAACTTTTGAAGGATGTTTATGAAAGGATTCCATTCAATCTCAGTTCCAGACTGTTCTATTGATCCATTGGACAGAATATAGAAGGTAAACCGAAAACACCGCCCAGTGCAGTTAAGGACAAAAAGCTCACAGAACAGGCCTTCAATTTCATCGTGGACATTTTCATAGCACTACGCTAAAATCTGAGTGCTGTACTTAAATGATGACCTCTGTCTGTCTGTTAAGCACCCCAAAGCGTGAACCCACCTCCACCCCGACCCTCCACCAGAGGAACGGTTCAGGAGGGGGCCACCCGAGCACAGCCAGCCCAGCTGTAGGAGGGGGAGCTGTGGGAGGCCCTGGGGCTGGATCCATGGGGCCCAGTCCACACATGATGCGCAGAGGTGAGACACCCACTCCTTAAAGCGAATCAGCTCACCTTTATTAGGTTGTTTGACATTTATTTTGAGCTATATGCATTATGGTATCATGAGGAAATGTTAATGAAGAACCTATTATTTTATTTTTCATTAGTAAGCCTCTTGTTACAAGGTAATTTGCACTAGCAGTTATATTGTTACATTTGACATAGATTTACAAGCATGCTACACTGGATGCGTAACTTTTTCAGAGTGTAAGACACTCCTATTCATTTGAATGAAACCTGTGTGTAAGCAACGCAGCTCTGTAAGAGGCCTGCGCTGCTTAGCGTAAAATTGCGCTCTGGTTCTATTTTTAGGAATTTAACGCGCGCCTCATGCCGGAGAAAGTGGCTGGGGCTCTGCTCAGGCTGGCTATAGTTACGAGTCCAGTGTAGCAGCTGAAAGCCCACTGTTTTTGTGACGCCCAGTATAGCTCCCCTATTAGACGTAGACATGCAATTTCAAGTAGCCTAAAATAAAGTATTTGTAGACATAAGATATTTAGTCCACCTCTCTCCACTATCCAGGTACAAAGAAGCCGGCCCCTGCCCCTCCCAAGCCGCACAACCCCCCTTCAGGCCAGCCCAGTAACCCCACCAACCAACACCCCTTCTCAGGCCAGGGCCAGGGCCAGTCCCTCAGCCCCTCTCCCAGACCCCTCTCCTCCTCAAGCCACTCTCCTACCTCCCCCACCCCCCAGGCCTCCACCACCCCCCGCCGGCAATCAAGCAACCAGCCTCCCATCCAGGCCCCCAACCACCCACCCCCACAGCCCCCCACACCCTCACAGTTCAGTCCCCCGCCCCACCCTAGGGCCCTCAGCCAGCCCACAGGAGACCACCCGGGGGCGGACCAGTCTCCTCCAGATACCCCCACCCCACCTGACACCCCTCCGCCCTCCACCGCCCCCCATGACATACCCGGTGCCCATCCTGGCTCCCCCTCGCCCTTTCAGTCAGGCTCCCTCCCCCGGCCGCGCCCCGTCCCCAAACCCAGAAACAGACCCAACATCCCTCCTCCCCCTCAGCCCCCCACACAGGGAAATGATACCAACGGGATCTGCAGCACAGCCTACAAAATCATGGGTGAGTCCAGTCAAGTGATGCGTTATTGTCCCATGAAGGGAGATTCATTTGGCAACACGCCACAGAAATACATTCACAACAGTCTATAAACAGACAGAACAGACATCACAACAATCCCTTCTTTCAGTTTATAGTATTGGTTCAGTATTCAGTACCTCCTTTTGCTCTAGTGTTGAAAGTACATTGACAATGTTTTATCTCTAAAAGTCCTGTGTCCACAGGTTAAGGAGCATTTATGAAAGGTTTGTCAGGTGATACTTGCATTTTGCAGCTCCTGTACTCCATCCATTTTTTTTGCATTACTCCATTACCACAACATACTTTTAGAAACCTACCACTTGTGCCTGCTTTTCCAATTGTTCCCATTGGTCGTGAATCATCATGACATTCAACCTTCATTATTAAATCATTTAAATGTCAGTAACATTTTGATGTGTGATTTGCAAAGGACATCTCTAATGGTTGGTCTGTAAATGATGAAAGGATACCGCAAACTAAAAACCGATTTGATTCATCGAATTGGCAGAATATACACTTTTTTAAATTTGATTGTGTCAGGATGTCTTTTGCAAACCCTTCAATTGCATTTGTTCGCCCTCTCGAAATGTTTTTTTTTTTTTTGTTAAGTCATTGTTGTCATCTTGATTGGAAGACTTGGCCTTTACTATTGTACATCAACATCAGAATATCATTCTAGCATGATCATAGCCTTTCATACATATTAACTTTAGGCTAAACACACTGCATGCCTAACGCCTAACTTGACTTGGATGTGTTTTAGTTTGGCAACCCAACAGCATCAGGTTTTAGTGTTCTGGTATGCATGGAACAGGATTGTACTTAGGTGCAAGCCTTGGATGCATTTGAAGCATGAGGCTCTCTTTAACTCAGTGCTGATGATGGCAGTAATGTGGTTTGGAATGTGGATAGCGTTAGCATGACTCTGTTCAAAATAAATCTGTTGTCTCAGCGTCATCTCTGATATGCTACATAGTGTGGCTGGCACTTAACGCTACTTGATGGTGCACTGCTATTTTCCTGTTTTGATCTTTTAGCCAATGGAAAATGGTAAACAGTGGTAATAGATTGCATAGGTTGAAGCCACTGTTTGGCTGTCAGATCCTTCAGATTATTGTCTTGAAGGTAGTAGCATGGGGGATGTGATGGTCTGTACTGGAGGTTGAATTTGCATTTTGCTTGTTTTTTTTTAAGCATGTCAACCATCCTTGCCAAAACATACTAACATTGAACACAAGTCACCTTTCGATGATTTTACAATCCACTATTTCGTTTTCCCCTTCAGGCATTTCTACTAATTTAATTCTTAATACTTTTACTTAGTTAATCCACAATATTTAGCTAAAGGATGATTCTATACAATCACTCAACAAACAACTACAGCTTAGCAGACTTTTAACATTAACATTAACTCCTCAGTCAGCTGTAGCACTAACATTTCACTATGTCTCTGTCCTGTCCAGACCCAGTGCTGTCTCTCAAAGGGTTGACCCGAGCCTTCGTGCCCTGAGTTTGCTGTGGACCAGCAGCCAGTGACCGCCCCCTCCATGGCCCCCATGACGTCCGTGCCCCAGCCCAAAGATTCAGACCTGGACACAGAGAGTACCGTCCTATAAGGAAGAGGACTGGCATTGGCTCTCTGTCCCCTCTCAATCTCCTCTCCAGGTGTGGGTAGAAGTTGACCCTAACCACAGGTCCAGATATTAGTTTCATCCCCTAATGGTTAACTGTAGGACTAGGGGTAGGGTGATCTGGTCCTAGACCTGTGGTTAGTGGCAACTTCTACCTCAAGCTCCCCTCAGATCACCACACCTCTGCTGCTCTCTCCCAACTCCACCTCCCGGTGTCTTCCACACACTAATTTTCCCATCACCATCACCCCCTTGGTCCGCACTACCCCAGCCCTGTTACAGCTACAACTTCATACAATCAACTCAACCACCCCAGTGGAACTACAGAACAGGACTCCCCCCTGGACACTCCCCACCAGGAAATCGTAACTCTGTAGCACTGATGAAGCTTTGTAGATTTTTTGGGGATGGTGCACAGCAATAAAGAGGTTTGGAATGGAAACTGTATGCATTTCCATGGGATGTTGCACCTTAATAAGGGCCCCGGGCTGGATTTCTAAGCTAACATATGGAATTATTTTAAGATGCTTAAGGGACTGCTAGTAGAGTGGGTTGTTAACAGTGGACTGACAGACAACTTTGATATTGGTGTGAGGTGTGTTGTTCTTGATGATGTCCTTGAAAAATACTATTTGTAAATGTAAAGCACAGCAAATGTGGGTAAAAGTAGAAACCAAACAAAATAATAATTATTGCTGAAATGTAGCTGGTCACTGCAGGTTTCCAGTCTCTCACACACTTATACCTTTTTATCCCTGTTTTTGTATGATACCCATCCTTCGCTCTCTGTATTTATTTCCTAAAACACATTCCTTGTAGCTTGAGTTAATAATCATGCAGTTTTCTGAAGCATGCCTTACTGGTTCCATAACTCGTTGTAGCAGGGGTAGGTCTATATACTTTCAGTATACATGCTGATCCTCTTGGCTTGTAGGTGCCTTCCTAACCTTCTGTGTTTACGCCGATGTTGCTGGGGCATTAAAGTGCCAGTTCCTGTATAAGTGAATGTAGGAAAGGACTGTTTTAAGTGCTTATACTGTAGCTACCTTGTCATCTGACTAGTGAATTACTTCAACAGTTGATATTGCACTTGAACCAAGTCTAAACCCCACAAGCGCTTGCTTTCCAGTGAACAGGTGTCTATATGGAAGATCATTCTGCTCTACCTTTTCCACTGAGCTGGGTTTTACACACAAACCAATGTAACAACCTAGTAGTGAGGTGGTGTTGGATTCTAGACCAGAAAAGCTTCATTATCTTTTCTTTTTATACACGTTGCTTTTTCCTTGAATATAATGCAGGGTTGTGCTCCTAGAGAACAGACCCTGAATGGTATCAACTAAAGGGCACATATCTGGAGGCTTCAGTTGCCCTGAAAACATGTTCAGTATTTGTACTGCTTTTCAGAGAGAATCATCATCCATGTAGTCTTGCTGAGATTCCCTTCTATCTCTTATTATTATTATTTTCCTTTAACTTGCTGCCTTATCCTTCTGCAGAAAGAGTACCTTGTTTTCGAGGCTCTGAACAAATGGCATTAAACTACAATTGTTAAAGCTGCGTTTTGAGCTCGGCTAGTTTTGTATGCAGACTGAGCTTAAACAATAAATAAATCAAAGGTAAAATGACTGCTTGGTTATACTCCCTTTCCGAATAAAATAAAGTAAATGAAGAAGAAATGTGAAATCGTTGTGAGTCATGGCTTGATCACTCACATACATGCACACACAAAATCAGTAAGAAAATTGTGTTATTGATGGGAGGACGATTGTCTAGTAATAATTTCTTCATTCTCCTGCTACCATTAAATCTGCGGTGTGTCGGCCACATGATTTCTAAAATAAAAAAAGAATAGTTGTTAAAAAAATAAATCTGATTCAAGACTAAAGTGTAGCTTCAATCCGGACTGGGGAAGATCTGTGCTATAGCGTGTTTGAAATATAAAGGCAATGTTCCCGCGTTCGCGGAGACTGCATTCACAGTAAATACTGCAAATGTCGGCTCAATCGGAAATGACCTTTACATTTAAATTGTGCTATAATGCGTATCTAGCCCTAGATAAAACACACACATACACACAAATAATTGACCAGAGTCCATGAGGATGTTGGTAGGCTTGGTGTAGGTTTGTAGGAAGGTGGATAGGGAGTGCAGCACCTTACTCTGACAGAGGTAGATGACTGTATCCTCCTCTAACAGTAAAGCCTGCTCCTGAGCGTCCTGCCTGAAGTGCTATCCTGTAACACACACAGATACACTGAACAGTTACCCTATAGAATCACACACACACACTGAACAGCTAACCTATTGAACCCTCAAACTCAAATCTAGACCTCAATGCCAGTTCCACTGCATTTTTTCATTGCTCCCCTCTAATCAGGGACTGATTTAAGACCTGGGACACCAGGTGTGTGCAATTCAGGTAAAACAAAACTAGCAGGCTCTGGACCTCGTAGGGTAAGAGTTGAATACCCCTGTTATAGAACAACACACACACACGACAGGCCTGTGACACTCCCCTCCTCAAAGATACCAAAAAATGTGGAGGGCTTACATACATCATATCAAAATACCTTACAAAGGAAATTATGGATTTGTCTTAAAATGGGTATGTCTGTGATGTGGACAAATTGACATGTAACAATGATGTGGACATTCACCACAAGTGTTTAGCATCTCCTTTGCCCTGCGTTTGAGTAGGCATGCACTGTCTGGGACCAGGGTCTCTACGGGCTGGGTCTGTGGGGTGGGGTCCTGAAGGCTAAGGGGCAGCGTCACGAAGCGGTAACCCACGATGGGAACATATTACTCGGCACGCAATGAGACACCACCAGGATACGCACCTCCTTCAGTGGGCCAAAAACAACCACAGTCCGATAACAGAGCAAAGCAAGGACCATGCCTCAATGATGAGTCAGAGGAAATCTTACTTTGGGCTTTTCTTCATGTCATTCAGATCTTCCAGAATCATGTGGAGAACTTCTGATGAGAACTAAAACCAAACAAATGCAACTTATAATACGAATAGCAATAGGCTATTATAGATCATCAAAGCAAAGTAAAATAGTTAACTATCAACATACCTTGTGAAAGTATTCACCCCCCTTGGCGTTTTTCCTACTTTGTTGCCATACAACCTGGAATTAAAATGGATTTTTGGAGGGTTTGTATAATTTGATTTACACAACATGCCTACCACTTTGAAGATGCTAAATATTTTTGTGAAACAAACAAGAAATAAGACAAAAAAACAGAACTTGAGCATGCATAACTATTCACCCCCCCAAAGTCAATACTTTGTCAAGCCACCTTTTGCAGCAATTACAGCTGTAAGTCTCTTGGGGTATGTCTCTATAAACTTGGCACATCTAGCCACTGGGATTTTTGCCCATTCTTCAAGGCAAAACTGCTCCAGCTCCTTCAAGTTGGATGGGTTCCGCTGGTGTGCAGCAATCTTTAAGTCATACCACAGATTCTCAATTGGATTGAGGTCTGGGCTTTGACTAGGCCATTCCAAGACATTTAAATGTTTCCCCTTAAACCACTCAAGTGTTGCTTTAGTAGTATGCTTAGGGTCATTGTCCTGCTGGAAGGTGAACCTCCGTCCCAGTCTCAAATCTCTGGAAGACTGAAACAGGTTTCCCTCAAGAATTTCCCTGTATTTAGCGCCATCCATCATTCCTTAAATTCTGACCAGTTTCCCAGTCCCTGCCGATTAAAAACATTGGGGGGATTGGTGTTCTCGGGGTGATGAGAGGTGTTTGGTTTTCATCCAGACATAGCGTTTTTCTTGATGGCCAAAAAGCTGAATTTTAGTCTCATCTGACCAGAGTACCTTCTTCCATATGTTTGGGGTGTCTCCCACATGGCTTTTGGCGAACACCAAACGTGTTTGCTTATTTTTTTCTTTAAGCAATGGCTTTTTTCTGACCACTCTTCCGTAAAGCCCAGCTCTGTGGAGTGTACGGCTTAGTTATGACTGTAAGTCGCTTTGGATAAAAGCGTCTGCTAAATGGCATATTATTATTATTATTATTATTATTATTATTAGTGGTCCTATGGACAGATACTCCAATCTCCGCTGTGGAGCTTTGCAGCTCCTTCAGGGTTATCTTTGGTCTCTTTGTTGCCTCTCTGATTAGTGCCCTCCTTGCCTGGGCTGTTAATTTTGGTGGGCGGCCCTCTCTTGGCAGGTTTGTTGTGGTGCCATATTCTTTCAATTTTTTAATAATGGATTTAATGGTGCTCCATGGGATGTTCAAAGTTTCAGATATTTTTTTATAACCCAACCCTGATCTGTACTTCTCCACAACTTTGTCCCTGACCTGTTTGGAGAGCTCCTTGGTCTTCATGGTGCCGCTTGCTTGGTGGTGTCCCTTGCTTAGTGGTGTTGCAGACTCTGGGGCCTTTCAGAACAGGTGTATATATACTGAGATCATGTGACAGATCATGTGCCACTTAGATTGCACACAGGTGGACTTTATTTAACTAATTATGTGACTTCTGAAGGTAATTGGTTGCACCAGATCTTATTTAGGGGCTTCATAGCAAAGAGGGTGAACACATATGGACGCACCACTTTTCCGCTATTTATTTTTTTAGACTTTTTTGAAACAAGTAATGTTTTTCATTTCACTTCACTTCCCCGTTCCTATGGCAAATGCATCACCACGAGACAAATTCCACTTAATTTGGTCCATGATTGTCATTAGCGCCAAAGAAGCTCGAGGGTATCAAGCAGTTTTATTTGTCAAGCATTCATGTCTTTTTACAGATCCAAAAGAAATACAACTGATCCAGAAGCAACCATATGGCCAACATAAAAAGTCAATATTTTTTTTACTATACAAAGTACTCCAATAATATCAATGAAAACATATAAAACACACATTTACAAAATAAACATTTAAATAAATGAACAATAAACTTAAATCGACCAAATGTTATAATAGGCCTACATTTCAGACCCAACTTGTCAGAATAGAATAAAAGTAAACAAATCCAGATATACAATTATTTTAACACAAAACAACACCTATATCAACATGCAAATGCTTTGGACAGTTGTCAACACTGTACTGCACTAGTGGCAAGATTTAAATGTGTAGCAGTGTCTGTTTGAACATGATGACAAATTGCAAGCCTGGTACAATAGGTCTGTAAATAAATACATCTGTATTTTCATTGGATGGCAGCTCTGACTGAAATTCCAATGTAAAAAGGAATTATGGAGGGAAAGTAGAAACCCGTACAGTACTAAAGAAAACCACCAAAACAGCTTTAAATGAACATCAGAAAACAGTGAACATTTGTTCTAAAACAAGATAAAAATACAGGTGCAGTTATGGCAGTGAGATGGACGGTTCATCAGTAACAACCACAGTGACAGAAAGAGCCGCCTAGACCACTCAATGCTAAAATGAATTGATGTCTTTCCGTTAGCAGCTATTCATATATTAGCCCCAGTGGGTTAACCCTCTTATTTCATGTGGTCACATCATACTGTAAAACACTTAAAACCCTCAGGAGTGTGGCATTATTTTTTGTTTTGGTAGGTTAATACTGCATTCTATCATCACATAATCTAAGAGGCAGTGAGTATGTGTTAATGGCATATGAGTTTCTGTTGTGCACTGCAGATCAAGTCCATCTGTAGAATAGAGTGCTCAGCTCTAGATAACATTCATATACGTTTGACTATATGCCATCTAAAATGTCATGGTCTTTTTCATATACATCTATGCTTTACAATTTCAATATAATTTAAATTTCATATAATCCAATATCAAATATATACTCCTATTATCTAAACATATTAATCTTCATTACTAATTTATTGTGCCACTTGACCTTACCAGGGACAACTGTGGGCCCTAGGGCTCAGTGTTCTTTCTGGTCAGATCACATGGTCAGGATGAACTCCTGGCCATAGGTCATTCCGCAGTGTTGAAGATCATGTTGTTTGTGTCCCAGTAGCTGTAACTGTTTCTTTGTGTTGTCTTGGCACTTTGGTTGAGGAGAGCAGAGGGGTTATCCAGTCTCTCGTCTCTACCAGGCCAGGGGAGAGGCCACTCTGGGGCTGCAGGGGTTCTCTGTGGCCTGGGTCTCATTCAGTGCTCTCTGGAAAACATGACCCAATCATCATTATACATAAGTCACAGATGCACTTGAATGCTGTCAAATTGTACGGTCAGACACCTACAGTGAGGGAAAAAAGTATTTGATCCCCTGCTGATTTTGTACGTTTGCCCACTGACAAAGAAATTATCTGTCTATAATTTTAATGGTAGGTTTATTTGAACAGTGAGAGACAAAATAACAACAAAAAAATCCAGAAAAACGCATGTCAAAAATGTTATAAATTGATTTGCATTTTAATGAGGGAAATAAGTATTTGACCCCCTCTCAATCAGAAAGATTTCTGGCTCCCAGGAGTCTTTTATACAGGTAACGAGCTGAGATTAGGAGCACACTCTTAAAGGGAGTGCTCCTAATAATAATAATAATAATAATATGCCATTTAGCAGACGCTTTTATCCAAAGCGACTTACAGTCATGCGTGCATACATTTTTGTGTATGGGCAAATCTCAGCTTGTTACCTGTATAAAAGACACCTGTCCACAGAAGCAATCAATCAATCAGATTCCAAACTCTCCACCATGGCCAAGACCAAAGAGCTCTCCAAGGATGTCAGGGACAAGATTGTAGACCTACACAAGGCTGGAATGGGCTACAAGACCATCGCCAAGCAGCTTGGTGAGAAGGTGACAATTGGTGCGATTATTCGCAAATGGAAGAAACACAAAAGAACTGTCAATCTCCCTCGGCCTGGGGCTCCATGCAAGATCTCACCTCGTGGAGTTGCAATGATCATGAGAACGGTGAGGAATCAGCCCAGAACTACACGGGAGGATCTTGTCAATGATCTCAAGGCAGCTGGGACCATAGTCACCAAGAAAACAATTGGTAACACACTACGCCGTGAAGGACTGAAATCCAAGGTCCCCCTGCTCAAGAAAGCACATATATAGGCCCGTCTGAAGTTTGCCAATGAACATCTGAATGATTCAGAGGAGAACTGGGTGAAAGTGTTGTGGTCAGATGAGACCAAAATCGAGCTCTTTGGCATCAACTCAACTCGCCGTGTTTGGAGGAGGAGGAATGCCGCCTATAACCCCAAGAACACCATCCCCACCGTCAAACATGGAGGTGGAAACATTATGCTTTGGGGGTGTTTTTCTGCTAAGGGGACAGGACAACTTCACCGCATCAAAGGGACGATGGACGGGGCCATGTACCGTCAAATCTTGGGTGAGAACCTCCTTCCCTCAGCCAGGGCATTGAAAATGGGTCGTGGATGGGTATTCCAGCATGACAATGACCCAAAACACACGACCAAGGCAACAAAGGAGTGTCTCAAGAAGAAACACATTAAGGTCCTGGAGTGGCCTAGCCAGTCTCCAGACCTTAATCCCATAGAAAATCTGTGGAGGGAGCTGAAGGTTCGAGTTGCCAAACGTCAACCTCGAAACCTTAATGACTTGGAGAAGATCTGCAAAGAGGAGTGGGACAAAATCCTTCCTGAGATGTGTGCAAACCTGGTGGCCAACTACAAGAAACGTCTGACCTCTGTGATTGCCAACAAGGGTTTTGCCACCAAGTACTAAGTCATGTTTTGCAGAGGGTTCAAATACTTATTTCCCTCATTAAAATGCAAATCAATTTATAACATTTTTGACATGCGTTTTTCTGGATTTTTTTGTTGTTATTCTGTCTCTCACTGTTCAAATAAACCTGACTGATCATATCTTTGTCAGTGGGCAAACGTACAAAATCAGCAGGGGATCAAATACATTTTTCCCTCACTGTATCAAGGGCATCACTATGGCTACCGGCTCACCTCAAACTTGGAAGTAAACTCAGCGAAAATTGCGAAAAAGGCCTCTGTGGAGGTGGCCTTGCTGTCCTCGCCGAAGTAAGAGGCCACCTTAGTGAACTCGTCCATGGCTCTCAGCTGCAGAGAGTCCAGAGACTGAACCGCTGGGTGACTGTTCTCCAGGAAGCCCTTTATCTCCAGGATCAAGGGTAAAACCGTCAAACTGTCAGACCATTTGAAGCACAGTGAAACATTCTGACTAGTAATATCCTGACTATTGTTATTTATGGTGTAATTATATACAATTACAGTGTAATTACTTACTACTAATTACTACAGTGTGTTACTGTGTAGCACACGCTAACTATACTGTGTACTATGATTATATGTGCGTGTGACATGTTCTGTTGTGAAGGGCTTTGTTGTTGTTGATAAAAAGATACACTCATGACGGCAGCGAAGTGGTCCTCAGCCGTGGCAGGGATCATCTGACAGGCTGTCCTGATGTCCTGGATGGTGGAGTGGAGGTCACCCAGCTCAGCTGTCAGGACTCGCTGATTCACTGCAGAGAAATTTCAATAAAAAAAGTGAACCTCAGAGTCCAGCTGAAGGACAGAGCCAGGTAAAGAACATTGTGGGGTATCGTCTTACTGTACCTTTGGCTGCGAGTGGCACGGTTGTAAGGTCCCTGGCAAAGTTCAGCAGTTCCGGGAAGTGTTGGCATAGCGATTTGGCAAGAATGTGGAGGAAGGTGGATTTACCATCCACTGTTTTAGTGGTGCTGAGCTGTAAGAAGGAAGGTGCGATAGGATTTGGCATTAGAAAGAGGTCAACTCCAAGGCAAAGATAACACAAGGGGTTATCAAACCTCTCCTCGGGGACCCCAAGTCGTTCAATGTATTTTAACTATTCCACAGCTAGCACACCTGATACAAACCTCTCGTTCCATGTAGTTTAACTATTCCACAGCTAGCACACCTGATACAAACCTCTCGTTCCATGTAGTTTAACTATTCCACAGCTAGCACACCTGATACAAACCTCTCGTTCCATGTAGTTTAACTATTCCACAGCTAGCACACCTGATACAAACCTCTCGTTCCATGTAGTTTAACTATTCCACAGCTAGCACACCTGATACAAATTGTCAACTAATCCTCAAGCCCTTGACTAGGTGAATCAGGTGAGTTAGTTCAGGGCTACAACAAAATTGAGAAACGTCTGGGTTTCCCAGAGGAGAGGTTTGAGAACCACTGCTATAGAGGCAAATGAGGTTAAATCACAGTCTGTGAGAGCATGAACATCCATCCATACCTCAGTGAGAAAGTTTATCTTAAAGCCAGTGGTTTTGTTTGTCTTGGGTTGACCATTATTCAGGTAATTCCCCATTGCCAGCACAAACTGTCGACAGAAACAGAGGTTTAGAAACAGTTTACAGGTAACACGACATAATAATAATAATATGCCATTTAGCAGACGCCTTTATCCAAAGCGACTTACAGTCATGCGTGCATACATTTTTTTTGTGTATGGGTGGTCCCGGGGATCGAACCCACTACCTTGGCGTTACAAGCGCCGTGCTCTACCAGCTGAGCTACAGAGGACCACGATACATGATAGGACCAGAGGACCACAGGACATGATAAAAAACATTATGCGTACCTCTGAGTCTGTTTCTTATTACCTTATCCTATATGATTTTACAGACAGACAAATCTTCAAAATTGCAATTCTTAACTGAATCATCTTGGTTCTTTGGTCTTAAATCATCCTGGTTCTTTAATAACCTTAGATTTTGACAGCACAGTACCATAAATAATATGAAATAAACAAGATAGTTGTTTGCCATTTCTCAATCATTAAGCTACTATATTCCACTCTCATCGAGCGAGTTACAGTAGTTTTATTACCTCGAGGATCTTGGCCAGTTTCTTGCTGCTCCTGAGTTCCACTGAGGCCTTGTAGATACATTCGTATCCAGCCTTCATCTCCTCTGTCTTCTCCTGCAGGGTCGTCTTAAAATGGAGGCTCCGCAGACGAGTCTTATACTCAGGGACCATCAGCATCTGGGCACACACAGATTATGAACTTGAAAAATATTGTTACTATTGCTAGTATAGTAGCATACTACTGTAGTAAACTACTACTATTTTATACAGTAAAATACTGAAATATATATTTTTTAACATTCTAGCCACAGCCTAGAGCCCTCAAACTCAACTCTGGACCTCTAAGCCAGTTCACCTGGCACACCAGTTAATTATCAGATAGAACAGAAAGCCAGCAGTCTCTGGACATCGTAGGATAAGAGTTGAACACTCCTGGCCTAGAGGGATTGACTGGGCCAATATAGACAATGTCATTGGCTGAAACCACCAGTGGCTCCCGACCCACCATTTGGGACACATTGACACAACAGTGTCTCAGTTACCTGCAGGACAAACTGGTCAGGGTCGCTGAGTTTGGCGGAGTCCTGGTCGAAGCGTTGGTACTGTTTGACCTCCTGGTCATCGGGGGCGTAGAGCAGCAGCTGCTTGATGTGGGCTGGCTCTAGCCTGTCTGTGGTCATTGTCATCAGTACCTTGCGCAGCTCACCTGGAGACAGCTTCAGGTGGGCGATCAGGATGGCTGGGGAGAGGAGGAATGGAATGGAGGGATGGAGGAGACAAGGTTTATTTGGATCTGTTACATTAGCAACTGATACTCTTCCTGGGGTTCACAGAAAACACAGTACAAAACAGTCATTGACAATAAATACAGACCTTCATTGATCAAAAACAACAACAACACCATTCAATTGCTTCTGTAAAAACCCGTGTTTGAGCCACCTGGCCCTAGAGGGTAAGTTCAGATCATTGAGATAAAGGTTCAGATCCCTGGGGGCTACGGCATGGTCATACTCACAGGCGTTGTAGGCCTTCTTATAAGACAGAATCTCTACCACGTCTTTCTTTTTAAAGCTCTCGGGCAGGAAGACTGGCTCTGGAAGAGAGACTGACACATTTAATCACAGTGTAAGGATGCTGCTCTCCAGGCACCAGGGTTGGAAACACTAACAGGCACTAAAGATGGATGGGTAATGAGAGAAGAGAGGGAGGGATGGGATGGGAGGTGGTGCCGTATGGAGAATGGATTTGATGAGCAGGTGAATGGAGGAGTTTAGTAGACCATGGGACAACTTGGTGAGCTGTGAAGGCATAAGAACAACATGGAATATCAGCAATACAATGAAACACAAAACAAGCCATGTTGAATTAATGAATGTGATGTACTCTTACACAGCAATGATATAAAATCATTATATTGCATTATATATGCAGGACTCCCTTGCAAAAGAGACCTTAGTCTCAATGGGACTCCCTGTTAAAATAAATAAATATCAAATCAGAGACAATGACGGTAGAAGGACAATATAAAAAAATATGCTATCATAGAGGTGGACACTATGAGATGTTTGATGAAAAGAGGTCATAATAAAGAACTTACTGGAACTCTGTTGGGTACCAAAGTGCAGCTCTAGATCGAGATACTTCACCATGTCACTCAGCTTGTCATAGTCAGGGTCCTCTCCAAGCTAAGTCAGACAAAGTATCTGTCAATACATTTCTTAACACAACAAAAACAACAATAACAACAACAACAAACAGTACTGATTCCAGGTTCCCGGGGTAGTATAATAGACTCCACATGTACCTGTCCCCAGATGGTCCCCTCAGAGTTCTCCACCTGCTCCCAACGTAGCCTCTTGACACTCATGTGGTTGGTGTCCCCAGCACAGGGACTGGAATTGGGCAGTGGAGGCGGGTCGCAGGGGGGCGGCAGTGGTGGAGGGGGCGGTGGGGGCACCTTGTGTTTCTGGAGTTCTGACACTGAGATGGGGGTCTCGTAGGTCTGTGAGTGAGGGGGCTGGGGAGGGTAACTCTGGGGCTGGGACAGGTGAGGGGCCTGGGGGGGCAGGCTGTGGCTCAGCTGGGGCTGGTAGGGTTGGTGGTGAAGCTGGTGGTGCCTCTGGAGGGCGAGCTGGCTTTGCCTGTTGAGCTGAGGGGAGGGCTGGGGACACAGGATGGGCTGGGTCAGGGGCTGAGGCTGGCTGGTCTGGCGGGGCAGGTTCCTGGGGCGAGAGGGCTGGGGAGAGTAGCAAGGGGCCAGTGGGAGAGTCATCTGGGTCGCTTGGTGGTGGAAACGGCCCTGTAGCTCATCCTTGGTCGGCAGCACCTTGTGTATGGTCGGTCTGTTGTACGTGAAGGCCCGTGGAGCGGGCGGGGGAGGGGGGATGATTGGGTGCTGCGGCTGGAAGGCCATGCGCGCCCGGGGGATATGTTCGGGGGAAAAGTGAGAGAGGACCGGGGTAATGGGGAGGGGGTCGGAGAAGCCGAATGGTGGCGGAGGTAGGGGGGTGGGGAAGGGCGGAGGCGGCGGGGCGCTCTGGGGGGGCGGGGGGATGGGGATGTGTTCGGAGCCGGAGGAGTAGGTGAGGGAGGTGGCGTCATCGTTGCTGCTGAGGTCCTCACTGCTGGCACTGCTCAGCTGGCGGGGGAGGTAGCTCACTTCCTGCTCATCCTGGAAACTCATCTGGACACAGCAGATAATCATCAATCTCACACTTTATAATCAGACACACCATGTCATCTGATTTACATCTTATAACCTTATACAGTGTTCAGAAACCTTACAATCAGACGCACACATACTGTATAATCTGATGGTCACTTTATCACGGTATGCATCCTGAATAGTCTGCACAAACCTTATAATCAACTTTTATTGTACGGCGATAATGTATGTAATCTTTTCCAACTCCATAAATACTGTATCTGTTGACACAATAACAACTTCACATACTGTACCGTCTGTATCCTATTCATAAACATTGTATTTACTACACTGTAGATTCTCTAATAATTTGTTGTACATAACAGTTTCTTCACACAATGACACTACTGTAGGCACGGATGGCCTGTTGGCGAATTTGATCTGGTATCATTAACATTTCACACCAATTCTCCAGGAGTCTCTTGGGGCTCACATTGTCTAATTGTGACTCTGGCTCTCTCACCTCCTCATAGTGACTATCTCTTCATATATTGTCTCGGTCTCTCGCCTCCTCATAGTGACCATCTCTTCATATACTGTCTCTGTCTCTCACCTCCTCATAGTCGTTCTCTCCAGGGAGGAAGTTGTCCACCAGAGTGACACGGTGTCCCAGCTGTTCACTCAGAGCGTCCAGGAACCTGTCTGTGTCCCTGCTCCGGGGCGGTCTGGAGAAGGTAAAGAGCTTCCTGCGTCTGGACAGGGGGCTGGTGGGGTCGTCAGAGTGCTGGGGAGACGGAGGGGGGCTCTCCAGGCTCACGTAAGGGTTGGAGTCAGCGCTGCCGGGAGACGGGATGGTTCCCTCATGATAGAACTCATACAGAGGGTCAGGCAGAGGCTCCTTCCATGTCAGAGACAGACCTGATTTACGGTTCCCTGTGGGGGGAGAAGAAACGCTGCATTATTTCAAAGATGTCTAACAGAGGACTTTGTGACTCAGCGTTTTATTTGGTTTAAATAAAACTTGACCCACATGTGGCAGCTGTTTGTTCAATTTACTCTAAAGAAGTCTCTTTAAACCACATGGGTTCCATCTTAAATGATCTTATTTGTCATCCTTAAAGCGAGCATGAGTGACAACGTTAATGGCGATGTTGTTGTAACCATTATGATATGCTGACCATTGGCTTCAAGTGGTTGCCATGTCAATGGTGTGTGTGAGTGGGTGTGTGTGTGTCTGTGTTACCTGTGCTACCTTGACTGAGGGAGGAGCGAGCAGGAGACTGGCCATAGGCGTCAGTCTGTCCCAGCTCCTGAAAGTCTGGTAGGGTCAGTGGAGAGCAACGACTGTGACTCTGTTGCATGGCCTTCATGGCACTCTTCCCTGTGTACACACTCTCCAGCTCTGTGTACACTCCTGCCATCTAGGGGTCGTAGGGGGTGTGAGCAGGACATTAGCACAAAGCACTGGGAACGGTTTATCACAAGGTCTGCTTATAAACTCTTTATGAATCATTACTAGATAGTTTGTTAACCTTGAGTAAAAATCCTAAACAACATGCGTCATATTTGTCTTTTTTAAAATGTTAACATACTGTAACTATGTAATACTATTTACAGACTGTTCATGAGCAGACGTCCAGATAAAGTGTTTCCAAAAGCACTGGTAAAAGCATTGGAGTACAGCAGAGACATGTAGGTATTTATCTTTATAAATAAATAGATGGCTCTGGTGTACACACATAATTAGCACCACTGGCTCTGCATGGCTGACCATTGTGTTGCAGTTTTATACCCACGTGATTCAGGTCAGGGGACTCTGGGAAGGAGGTGCCGTCTCCACACTGTCTCTCACCAGGTGTCCCAATACCACTCCCTGGTGCATCCACATGAATCCCTGCGTCCACATGAAGGACAGGGACAAACTGTCATGAGGATCCACCTCCTCTCAAGCCCAGAGAGGAGGGGAGACAGCAGGAGACAGCAGGATGCATCATAATGTACTTAACAGCATGGAGAAGCAACAGAGACCTAGTGCATTTTGACAACTGTGGGCTAGATACTAACTTGAGATTTACTGTACACTACACAGTACACCTGTAATTTGAATTTCTGCGCAAATCTCCCATTGGCGTCAATGTGTGGTTTATGCTAAATTCCAAGTTACTGTAGGCATTTCTCAAGTTAGGATTTGGCCCTATGAGACTAGAGATGGGCTTAATGCAATACTAGGCTTGGATAGATATTCCCTGTTAGAAGCAGCAAGTCAACCCTCAGCCCTGGAGTGGCTGGTTGAGAGGAAACCCTTCCAATCAAGGATAAGGACAAAGAGTTGCTGAGCTGATCACATTCGTACCCATTCCCAGGTGTGTTCCGATGATGCAGTCGTCAGAGCTCCTCTCCCGTACGGGGCCTCTGTAGGAGGTACCTGACACACGCACTGAGCTGCTCCTCCTGTGGTGCTCCTGTCCTGCACCTGGCTCTGGCTCAGGCTCTGCTAATGTACACACACACAAACACACAGAGAAAGAGAGAGAAGAATTATAATTAATTAGAATGACATGAGGAAATATCTAAGAACATCCCACCACACTGAACAATAAATATATTCTCTAGTCATCAGCTATTTTCATTGTAATATCTAGCTGTCTAAGTTTTTGCCTCTGCCAAGCCTTGCCTGTAAAGATGCAAAGCAATCTTCCACTATGAAAGACAAAACATTTTATAAAAATCTAAACCGGTGAGAGCATAACCAAACAGAGACCCCACTTCTAACTCAACTCACTCACACGCAACAGACCCAACCAAGCAGGCAGAGAGATGTGGCTAATGGCTAACCCACCTGCGGTCTTGAAGCCCAGGAAGCGTGAGATCTTGCTCTGACAGTGTTCCTGCTCCTCGTAGGTCAGCAGCTGGTAGATGAACTGCCAGATCACCTGTTTGGCTGGAGTGTCCAACACCGGGAACACATCAACAATCAGGGTGTCCACGTTCCTGAACATTTACAATGACAAAGTCACCATTTTAGATACTTCTGAACAGCTCAGACAAATAATCAAAATCTGACTTTTTTGTTGCTACAATAAAAGTATTTTAAAACATGCTAAAATAAAAATACATAAAAACTCAAGCACACTGGTAATCTTCATTTTTTATTAATTTAATAGATATTTTAACCAATGTTTCATCAGGAGGTACAACTCATTATCTGAGGTACAACTCAACTCCTACCGGTGTGCTGGAGTTTTTCTTCTTTTTATTATTAAGAATACTTTTTTCCCCATGCACCTGGTAGCTTGTTAACGTGTGCAAGTTTACTTTCTCAGACATGCTAAAATAAAAGTATCAAAAGAAAATCCTACTTTCGAAAAGGTTTATTGCTATTCAGTAACGTTGATAGGGAATTTGTCTTGGTGACTCTTTGATTCTGTACTCTGTAAAATAACATGTATTGCTTTAGATTAGACAAGTTTACCATTATATAATGTATAGAATTATAGAATTTACATTTAGTGCATGTAATAAGATGTAATGAACCATATTAGGATTCAAGCAGATTATTGAGGGGTAGGATGTTATTTGGCAGGGAACTGTCAGATTATGAGAGGAGTTTCTCTTTTAGGGTAGGTCAACATAAAATGTATGTAATATTTACTATTGATGTGTGAGGCATTTCAAACGAATAAATCATCATTCCTGACATTTGAAAATAGATTCGGAGAGCTAGAGCGAGAGAGAAGAGAAGAGAGAGAGAGAGCCTTAGAGATCAGATTGATAGAGATAGCTCGCGATGATAGATCTAGATAACGATCTCGTCAGAGACTAGCGAGACATCTATATCTATCTGCTTAGCTAGCGTCTCGCGAGCTCTCTCTATCTCATCTCTCTCTTCTCCTATCTCTCTCTCTCTCTCGCTCTATCTCTCTCTCTCTCTCTCTCTATCTCTCTCTCTCAACTGTGTTGGAAGAAGGTCTCCAGGGCTTGCAGATGGTGTATCTCTCCTGTACGGTGAGCAGGTGATCCAGCTGCTGGCTAAAGGTGCGTCCGTGGACCTTGATGCTGGGGGGGAGGATCTCAGCCACCCACTGCAGGGAGCTGAGGGGGCCTGGGTGAGCGGGACCTTGGGGCCACGGAAGGGGACAGGCCTGGGGAAGTGTCCCCCTGGTCAGAGAGGGAGTAACCAGAGGGGCCGCTTTCCACCACCAGGGTGGGAATGGCCCCACTGCCCTGCAGCATGGACACCACCTTCTCATGGGAACAGTTCCTGAAGACTCATACACACACACACAGTCACTGTCAGTACTAATATCAACGTAGACACGATCTTGCAAGGCTGTTGTCATTGGACCAGCTCCTAGAGACACTGAAAGGTACAGAGAGTTATGATCTACAGTATTCAGTACTGCACGCTACTACTCACCCATGTGACCCCTGGTTTACATGGTTTCTAGGGTGGTATAATGAGGTATTTGTGGGTGATACTGTGGGTGATATTGTGCTATGGGCGGTGAAATATTGACAGAGCCCTCCTGAGCAAATGTGATTCCAGCCAGGCTGTGTTCTAATGTGCACTCCCACACTTCTTCATGTTCAGAATAAAAAGGAATAATAAGTAAGTTTAAAGGGCGTAAAAGGACTTCCCACAATCATTTTCTCAAATACCATTCCACACACACATCCACGCATGTGCGTGCACACAGACACACACCAGCCCACTTATCAGGTTGACTCACTCTCCTGTGAGCATCATAAGGTAAGGTCATAACAGGTCTCTGTACCTCATGTCCAGCCCATTGAGGAAAAGGATGCGGTCGCCTGGTTTGAGACCACAGTCTTCAGCAGGGCTGTCTGAAGAGAGACAGGGGGATGAGAGTCAGAGAGAAAAGGAGGGAAGACACATAACAATCCATGATGATATGCAAAACAGAACATTTATAAAAGCCTCATTAATCAAATCAGTATGTAATATTTGACTGATGTTGTTTTTATGTACCATGTGTTGTCTTGGGTTATGCCGGTAGCCCTTTAGGAACCAATTTAGCATAATATTATCTATCATTCTTCAAGTAGGTGTACAGTACCACATGGCCATGCAGGCTCTCTGACATGAGACAGTGTGTTCTTATGGATGCCTGTACATCACGATCTTATCTCATCCACCCACAGCATCTCCATCTACAGCCGTCCTCATAAGGCCTAGCCCACTGAGTCAGTGAGTAACTTACTGCTGGCCTCTGCTCAGATCTGTAGCGGGTGGACGGCATCATACACACACACTCACTCACTCCTCCCCCGCCTCAGCCCTGACAAAGATGAGCATCCGGTAAACCCCATATTATTATACTCTGGTACAAAATTTGACATTTTAGTCATTTAGCAGACACTTATCCAGAGCAACTTAAAGGAGCAATTGGAGTTAAGTGCCTTGCTCAAGGGCACATCAACAGATTTTTAAACTAGTCAGCTTGGGGAGTCAAACCAGCGACCTTTCGGTTACTGGCCCAATGCTCTTAACCACTAGACTACCTGCTGCCCCAACCTCTGCATTTACAGCAGAACATCTCTCCATCACAGCACACAGCAACATCCACATCCATCCATGTATTCATCCTCCTCTTATCCCAGTCTCTTTAAAATCCCTGACCACTTCCCTTATCCCCTTAAACGGCCCTTAAACAAACAAAAACAACAATAAAAGCATCACCCAGCATGACTGTACTGTCTGTCTTATTGTACAGTGGATGGATGTTGGAAACTGTGTACGTAACAAATACAATTTGATTTGATTAGTTAGTGACTCAGAGACACGCCTCCACCTCCTGACACATACTGTATATTCAGGTTAACACCCCTCTAGATCAGATCACCCCAACAACAACCCCAACTACTGACCACAGCATCCCCAACACCTAATAACCTCCACTACTGATCACAGCATCCCCAACACCTAACAACCTCCACTACTGACCACAGCATCCCCAACACCTAACAACCTCCACTACTGATCACAGCATCCCCAACACCTAACAACCTCCACTACTGATCACAGCATCCCCAACACCTAACAACCTCCACTACTGACCACAGCATCCCCAACACCTAACAACCTCCACTACTGATCACAGCATCCCAAACACCTAACAACCTCCACTACTGACAACAGCATCCCAAACACCTAACAACCTCCACTACTGATCACAGCATCCCAAACACCTAACAACCTCCACTACTGACCACTGCATCCCAAACACCTAACAACCTCCACTACTGATCACAGCATCCCCAACACCTAACAACCTCCACTACTGATCACAGCATCCCAAACACCTAACAACCTCCACTACTGATCAGAGCATCCCAAACACCTAACAACCTCCACTACTGACCACTGCATCCCAAACACCTAACAACCTCCACTACTGACCACTGCATCCCAAACACCTAACAACCTCCACTACTGATCACTGCATCCCAAACACCTAACAACCTCCACTACTGATCACAGCATCCCAAACACCTAACAACCTCCACTACTGATCACGCATCCCAACACCTAACAACCTCCACTACTGATCACAGCATCCCAAACACCTAACAACCTCCACTACTGATCACAGCATCCCAAACACCTAACAACCTCCACTACTGACCACTGCATCCCAAACACCTAACAACCTCCACTACTGATCACTGCATCCCAAACACCTAACTACCTCCACTACTGATCACAGCATCCCAAACACCTAACAACCTCCACTACTGATCACAGCATCCCCAACACCTAACAACCTCCACTACTGATCACAGCATCCCAAACACCTAACAACCTCCACTACTGATCACTGCATCCCAAACACCTAACAACCTCCACTACTGATCACAGCATCCCAAACACCTAACAACCTCCACTAATGACCACAGCATCCCAAACACCTAACAACCTCCACTACTGATCACAGCATCCCAAACACCTAACAACCCCCACTACTGATCACAGCATCCTCGACACCTATCAACCCCCACTACTGACAACAGCATCCCAAACACCTAACACCCACTACTGACTACAGCATCCCCAACACCCAACAACACCCACCTGATACCAGCCCAGTACAATACGGTGTTACCCAACATAAAACATATAACATCATCCAGCCAACACACCACATAGAGAAGTGTAATCAGCAGGTCGTCATAACTTACCTGGGATGACAGAATCGATACAGACAGGGGCATGGCCCCTCAGGGTGAACCCAAAACTCTTCTTCCCTCTGTAAACCCTTACTGTCCTGGGGGGAGCACGGAGGCTGAGGGAACATTTCAAAGCCTGTATTATTTTCTGTCAGAACATACATTTGTATACATGTTTACAGTAGAGTAGTAAAATATATGGTTTTAACAATATAGTTGTAATTACATTACTACCTTTGTTGTGTACTGATATTTTATCAATGGGCTTTCAACCGCTTTCAAATGTATTTATCAAGTACTACTGGGTGCGTAGAATAGCCTATCGTTCTCAACAGTAAATAACAATTCTACAGGGATTTCATATTATCATGCCCACATCATACTGTCTGTTATGTAACTTGAATCTCGCCAACTAGAAATAAAACAACAAAGGAATGTGAATGAGTAAAAAAGAAACAGTAGCTAGTGTGTCCAGTAGGAATACCACATAACAGGTATAATTTCCAGCTCAGACAGTGATGCCTCTGTTCCCTGGCTCCCACTAAGAAGCATTTCCATCAAAGACTGGGATGGAGATATCACAGTTGCCATGGAAACTACTCAAGGCAACATCATAAGATATGAACAGAGGTCCATAAAGCAGAAGAAGGAGAAGAGAGGAAACCGGTAAAATCCGTTCTTTGATTGTCTTTATGCTTGTTATGTAATATTGGGACAGATGAGAACATTTTAAATGGGTTTTTAGAGTACTGTACTGTGCTATATGTACAGAGACACAAAGGGTAGACTCAGCACTGCAAAGCACTAGAGACAAGAAACTGGTGGGATAGAAAAGGTGAAGGAAACAGATCTCATCTCTCCCCTCATCTACCATTTGTCCTTTATATACATCAGTACCATTCCATAACCCAAGAAACAGCACAGAAGAGGAGCTAAAAACATGGACTTGAGTCTACTGCAAAGTATATCTGTAAAACTGGAATGGAGTGAGCTACTGTATGGCTTAGAGCTGAGCCTGCTGTGTGGTTCGACTGTTTACTGACTTTCTGAGTCATAATCTTAATTCCTCCAAGGTATTATCGGTTGGACACTGATAGCTATAATCGTTGTGTGTTGTTATAATATTAGGTGAGTAATAAGACTCATTCAATGGTTAACAGAAACTGTTCCCTAATCAACAGTATCAGGTGCTTCCAAATCATCTATCAACAAACAACACATTTAAACATTTAGAAAATTACCCAGCGGGTTGGAACATTTATTTTTAAAATGTCATTCAGTAGTAATTTTTAATCCAATATATGTCCATAATCTCCTGCTCCAACCACACAAACAGCATATTCTAAATATTCTCTCTCTCTCAGGTGAGTGGGAGTCATAGCTAAATACCCCATACTGTATACTAACCTCTGATTGGCTCCTGATTGATGCACAGGTATGCCCGACATAGACTTCCTGTACCCCCTCTCTCCTCTCTCCTTTCCCCCTCCGGTCCTCCACGGGGTCCCGGGGTACTGAGCTGGCCCGTTTGGAGCCGTGGTGGCGGTCGGGGTGGTCCTCGCTGCGGCTACGTCTCAGACGGCCCTGCTGGCCCGGCACGCTGATGCTCTTACTGCGACAGATCCTCTGGATCAGGCTCTGGGAAACGGCCTCGTCAAACCGCTGCCGGTGCTTCTTGGGGATGAAGATCCTGGTGAACATGGTGAGAGAGGGACCAGCATGTGAGAGGAAGGGAAAGTAGGGGGAGGGGTGGAGGGGTGGAGAGGTGGAGTGGTGGAGTTCCCCCTGGATCTAAGGGGCTACCACCAGGTAGACCTCAGAAGTCACCCCTCAACAGTCTGTCACCTCTGCCCAGAACAAGAGGTAAGAGAGGAATCAGAGATGATGAAGACAGAGATTATGTAGATCTCCAGAGATCTCCGGGAACCAGAAGGTGTTACTAGATACCTCAGCAGTCTGTGTCAACTCTGGTGCCCAAAACCGCACCACACATACCAAAGCCCTGGTCTGAGATTCAGAGGAAAAAGTCAGAGCTAGAACTGAGAATAAAGCATCCAGGTTGGAGAAGAAAATTCATGCAGCTGAATACAAATCACTGTTGACTTGGTGAAAGAGAATCATCATAAAACATACTTAGAAATCCATAGATTGACGAAAAACAAAACAAACGCACTTCTTCTAAAAAGTCGCTGTCTTTCCATTTAGTCGCTGTAGTCCATGGATAAAGAAGAGAAGGGAAGGTTTGATGGATAGCGAGAAAGAGGGCGAGATATATCTATAGAGACAGTCAGTGAGGCAGCCGTCTGTGCAGTGGCGTCATTTGCTACAGTGTGGATTCACTCTGCTGCAGCTTGAGATACCAATACAGCAACAGCAAAGGTGTGGGAGTAAGCAATATGCTGTATTACTCTATCACCTCTCTCTCCCTCTCTTGCTCTCTCTTTCTCGCTATCATCCCTCAGTGCCTTGCAAAAGTATTCATCCCCCTTGGCGTTTTTCCTATTTTGTTGCATTACAACCTGTAATTTAAATGGATTTTTACTTGGATTTCATGTAATGGACATACACAAAATAGTCCAAATTGGTGAAGTGAAATGAAAAAAATTACTTGTTTCAAACAATTCAAAAAAATAAATAACAGAAAAGTGGTGTGTGCATATGTATTCACCCCCTTTGCTATGAAGCCCCTAAATAAGATCTGGTGCAACCAATTACCTTCAGAAGTCACATAATTAGTTAAATAAAGTCCACCTGTGTGCAATCTAAGTGTCATATGATCTGTCACATGATCTCAGTCTATATACAGTGAGGGAAAAAAGTATTTGATCCCCTGCTGATTTTGTACGTTTGCCCACTGACAAAGAACTCTCCAAGGTTCCCTTGGAGAGTTCATCAACGAGCTTGACGCCTTGATAAGTTCCTTTCCTGAGGATGGCTCACCCCTCACAGTTTTGGGGGATTTCAACCTCCCTATGTCCACGTTTGACTCATTTCTCTCTGCCTCCTTCTTTCCACTCCTCTCCTCTTTTGACCTCACCCTCTCACCGTCCCCCCCTACTCACAAGGCAGGCAATACGCTTGACCTCATCTTCACTAGATGCTGCTCCTCTACTAATCTCACTGCAACTCCCCTCCAAGTCTCCGACCACTACTTTGTTTCCTTTTCTCTCTCGCTCTCCTCCCACACTACTCACATCTGCCCCTACAACAGATGGTAATGCGCCGCCGCAACCTTCGCTCTCTCTCTCCCACTACTCTCTCCTCTTCCATCCTATCATCTCTTCCCTCTGCTCAATCCTTCTCCCTCCAATCTCCTGATTCTGCCTCCTCAACCCTCCTCTCCTCCCTTTCTGCATCCTTTGACTCTCTGTGTCCCCTATCCTCCCGGCCGGCTCGGTCCTCCCCTCCAGCTCCGTGGCTTGATGACTCACTGCGAGCTCACAGAACGAGCTCCGGGCAGCGGAGCGGAAATGGAAGAAAACTAAAACCTCCCTACCGACCTGGCATCTTTTCACTCCCTCCTCTCTACATTTCTTCCTCTGTTTTCTGCTCGCTAAAGCCACTTTCTACTCACTCTAATTCCAAGCATCTGCCTCTAAACCCTAGGAAGCTCTTTGCCACTTTTCCTCCCTCCTGAATCCTCCTCCCCCCCCCCCCCCCTCCTCTCTCTCTGTGGATGACTTCGTCAACCACTTTGAAAAGAAGGTTGACGACATCCGATCCTCGTTTGTCAAGTCTAATAACACTGCTGGTCCTGCTCACACTGCCCTACCCTATGCTTTTGACTTCTTCTTCTCCCCTCTCTCCCAGATAAAATCCTGCGACTTGTGACTGCAGGCCGCCCAACAAACCTGCCCGCTTGACCCCATCCCCTCCTCCCTTCTCCAGACCATCTCCGGTGACCTTCTCCCCTACCTCACCTCGCTGATCAACTCATCCTTGACCGCTGGCCATGTCCCTTCCGTCTTCAAGAGAGCGAGAGTTGCTCCCCTTCTCAAAAAACCAACACTCGACCCCACTGATGTCAACAAACTACAGACCAGTATCCCTTCTTTCTTTTCTTTCCAAAACTATTGAGCGTGCCGTCTTTAGCCAACTCTCTTGCTATCTCTCTCAGAATGACCTTCTTGATCCAAACCAATCAGGTTTCAGGACTGGTCATTCAACTGAGACTGCTCTTCTCTGTGTCACGGAGACTCTCCGCACTGCTAAAGCTAACTCTCTCTCCTCTGCTCTTGTCCTTCTAGACCTGTCTGCTGCCTTTGATACTGTGAACCATCAGATCCTCCTCTCCACCCTCTCCGAGATGGGCATCTCCGGCACGGCTCACTCCTGGATTGCGTCCTACCTGACCGGTCGCTCCTACCAAGTGGCGTGGCGGGAAGCTGTCTCCGCACCACGTGCTCTCACCACTGGTGTCCCCCCAGGGATCGGTTCTGGGCCCCTCTCCTTTTCTCCCTATACACCAAGTCACTTGGCTCTGTCATATCCTCACATGGTCTCTCCTATCATTGCTACGCTGACGATACACAACTAATCTTCTCCTTTCCCCCTTCTGATAACCAGGTGGCGAATCGCATCTCTGCATGTCTGGCAGACATATCAGTATGGATGACGGATCACCACCTCAAGCTGAACCCTGGCAAGACGGAGCTGCTCTTCCTCCCGGGGAAGGACTGCCCGTTCCATGATCTCGCCATCACGGTTGACAACTCCGCTGTGTCCTCCTCCCAGAGTGCGAAGAGCCTAGGCGTGACCCTGGACAACACCCTGTCGTTCTCCGCCAACATCAAGGCGGTGACCCGCTCCTGCAGGTTCATGCTCTACAACATTCGGAGAGTGCGACCCTGCCTTACACAGGAAGTGGCGCAGGTCCTGGTCCAGGCACTTGTCATCTCCCGTCTGGACTACTGCAAACTCGCTGTTGGCTGGGCTCCCTGCCTGTGCCATTAAACCCCTACAACTCATCCAGAATGCCGCAGCCCGTCTGGTGTTCAACCTTCCCAAGTTCCTCTCACGTCACCCCCCCTCCTCCGCACACTCCACTGGCTTCCAGTTGAAGCTCGCATCCGCTACAAAGACCATGGTGCTTGCCTATGGAGCAGTGAGGGGAACGGCACCTCTGTACCTTCAGGCTCTGATCAGTCCCTACACCCAAACGAGGACATTGCGTTCATCCACCTCTGGCCTACTGGCTCCCCTTCCTCTGCGGAAGCATAGCTCCCGCTCAGCCCAGTCAAAACTGTTCGCTGCTCTGGCACCCCAATGGTGGAACAAGCTCCCTCACGACGCCAGGACAGCGGAGTCACTCACCACCTTCCGGAGACATTTGAAACCCCACCTCTTTAAGGAATACCTGGGATAGGATAAAGTATTCCTTCTAACCCCCCCCCCCCCCCCCCCCCAAATTTGTAAAGTGGTTATCCCACTGGCTATAGGGTGAACGCACCAATTTGTGAGTCGCTCTGGCTAAGAGCGTCTGCTAAATGACGTTAATGTGCCCTTGAGCAAGGCACTTAACCCTAATTGCTCCTGTAAGTCGCTCTGGTTAAGAGCGTCTGCTAAATGACTAAAATGTAAAAAAAAATGTAAATGTAAAGACATGATCAGTCTATAATTTTAATGGTAGGTTTATGTGAACAGTGAGAGACAGAATAACAACAAAAAAATCCAGAGAAACGCATGTCAAAAATGTTATAAATTGATTTGCATTTTAATGAGTGAAATAACTATTTGACCCCTCTTCAAAACATGACTTAGTACTTGGTGGCAAAACCCTTGTTGGCAATCACAGAGGTCAGACGTTTCTTGTAGTTGGCCACCAGGTTTGCACACATCTCAGAAGGGATTTTGTCCCACTCCTCTTTGCAGATCTTCTCCAAGTCATTAAGGTTTCGAGGCTGACATTTGGCAACTCGAACCTTCAGCTCCCTCCACAGATTTTCTATGGGATTAAGGTCTGGAGACTGGCTAGGCCACTCCAGGACCTTAATGTGCTTCTTCTTGAGCCACTCCTTTGTTGCCTTGGCCGTGGGTTTTAGGTCATTGTCATGCTGGACTACCCATCCACGACCCATTTTCAATGCCCTGGCTGAGGGAAGGAGGTTCTCACCCAAGGTTTGACGGTACATGGCCCCGTCCATCGTCCCTTTGATGCAGTGAAGTTGTCCTGTCCCCTTAGCAGAAAAAACACTCCCAAAGCATAATGTTTCCACCTCCATATTTGACGGTGGGGATGGTGTTCTTGGGGTCATAGGCAGCATTCCTCCTCCTCCAAACACGGCAAGTTGAGTTGATGCCAAAGAGCTCGATTTTGGTCTCATCTGACCACAACACTTTCACCCAGTTCTTCTCTGAATCATTCAGATGTTCATTGGCAAACTTCAGACGGCCCTGTATATGTGCTTTCTTGAGCAGGGGGACCTTGCGGGCGCTGCAGGATTTCAGTCCTTCACGGCGTAGTGTGTTACCAATTGTTTTCTTGGTGACTATGGTCCCAGCTGCGTTGAGATCATTGACAAGATCCTCCCGTGTAGTTCTGGGCTGATTCCTCACCATTCTCATGATCAATGCAACTCCACAAGGTGAGATCTTGCATGGAGCCCCAGGCCGAGGGAGATTGACAGTTATTTTATGTTTCTTCCATTTGCGAATAATTGCACCAACTGTTGTCACCTTCTCACCAAGCTGCTTGGCGATGGTCTTGTAGCCCATTCCAGCCTTGTGTAGGTCTACAATCTTGTCCCTGACATCCTTGGAGAGCTCTTTGGTCTTGGCCATGGTGGAGAGTTTAGAATCGGATTGATTGATTGCTTCTGTGGACAGGTGTCTTTTATACAGGTAACAAGCTGAGATTAGGAGCACTCCCTTTAAGAGTGTGCTCCTAATCTCAGCTCGTTACCTGTATAAAAGACAACTGGGAGCCAGAAATCTTTCTGATTGAGAGGGGGTCAAATACTTATTTCCCTCATTAAAATGCAAATCAATTTATAACATTTTTGACATGCATTTTTCTGGATATTTTTGTTGTTATTCTGTCTCTCACTGTTCAAATAAACCTACCATTAACATTATAGACTGATCATTTCTTTGTCAGTGGGCAAACGTACAAAATCAGCAGGGGATCAAATACTTTTTTCCCTTACTGTATACCTGTTCTGAAAGGCCCCAGAGTCTGCAACACCACTAAGCAAGGGGCACCACCAAGCAAGTGGCACCATGAACACCAAGGAGCTCTCCAAACAGGTCAGGGACAAAGTTGTGGAGAAGTACAGATCAGGGTTGGGTTATAAAAAAATATCAGAAACTTTGAACATCCCACGGAGCACCATTAAATCCATTATAAAAAATGGAAAGAATATGGCACCACAACAAACCTGCCAAGAGAGGGCCACCAACCAAAACTCACGGACCAGGCAAGGAGGGCATTAATCAGAGAGGCAACAAAGAGACCAAAGATAACCCTGAAGGAGCTGCAAAGCTCCACAGCAGAGATTGGAGTATCTGTCCATAGGACCACTTTAAGCCGCACACTCCACAGAGCTGGGCTTTATGGAAGAGTGGCCAGAAAAAAGCCATTGCTTAAAGAAAACAATAAGCAAACACGTTTGGTGTTCGCCAAAAGCCATGTGGGAGACTCCCCAAACATATGGAAGAAGGTACTCTGGTCAGATGAGACTAAAATTGAGCTTTTTGGCCCTCAAGGAAAACGCTATTTCTGGCGCAAACCCAACACCTCTCATCACCCCGAGAACACCATCCCCACAGAATGATGCTGCCACCACCATGCTTCACTGTGGGGATGTTTTTCATCAGCAGAGACTGGGAAACTGGTCAGAATTGAAGGAATGATGAATGGCGCTAAATACAGGGAAATTCTTGAGGGAAACCTTCAAGCAGGACATTGACCCTAAGCATACTGCTAAAGCAACACTCGATTGGTTTAAGGGGAAACATTGAAATGTCTTGGAATGGCTTAGTCAAAGCCCGGACCTCAATCCAATTGAGAATAATCTGTGGTATGACTTAAAGATTGCTGTACACCAGCGGAACCCATCCAACTTGAAGGAGCTGGAGCAGTTTGGCCTTGAAGAATGGGCAAAAATCCCAGTGGCTAGATGTGCCAAGCTTATAGAGACATACCCCAAGAGACTTGCAGCTGTAATTGCTGCAAAAGGTGGATCTATCTATCTACCTACCTACCTACCTACCTACCTACCTACATACCTACCTACCTACCTACCTGAAGAGCAGAACAATAGCTTTTCTGAGCATGTCTCAGTTGTCTGGACAGTAGGATTCTCAGAGGGAGAATGATATGAGGTGAAGGATTATCATTTTCTCATCATGTAGATAACAACACGGATCAAAGCCATCGTCTTGTCTGTTTGTCTTTAATAACATAACCAAGAGAACAGTGGTATGGTGTTAATTCAGTATATAACTCATTTTTTGCTAATTGAAGATATAAAACATGTGGTTCATTACAGCAATTGTGACACTGAGATGTAAAGGCAACAGCTGATGACGAAAACAAACACACACACACACACCACACGCACACACACACAGAGGGCAGCTGACAGCTGGAAACAGCAAACAGGAACAGTGTGTAAGCGTTAGCAAATTACAACTGATGAACAACATTGCATCAGTACAGATGGAATTGTTTATGTGAATTAAAACAAATGCTCCCAATTAACACATAATCCAATACAGATCATGTGAGTACATACAGTATAAATATAATTAAGAAATATTATCAAACGGTTAAATATAATGATAATAATAATGAATAATGTTGGTGATTCCGTGTGTCATCCCTGGCCCTGGTGTTGTTGACCCCTCCGAGTGTCTCCTTGTTAGCTTTTGTTCCCATGATTAGATGAATCAGACGATGAGTGGCAAGACATAAATTATAATAAAGTGGAGAATTCCGGAAAACAAACTAACTGGCCATGCAATTATAAAATGGCACGAACAGAACAGAGAGAGAGAGAGAGAGAGAGAGAGAGAGAAGAGAGAGAGAGAGAGAGAGAAGAGAGAAGATCTAGATAGATGCGCTCGAGCAGATGAGAGATATAACTAGCAGAGAGATAGATAGAGGGATAGATATAGATGCTAGAGAGCTCGAGAGAGAGGAGAGAGGCAACACATGCAGAAACGTGTGAAAATGAACTAGCTAATTACGCACATTCAAACAAGTTGGACAGCTAAATCAAGCAAATTGGACACAGAGAGAAGTTCTTCAGAGACAATAAGGATTCTAGCCACCATAGGGGAATGTTCTGCTAATTAGCCATGATTCTTCCACAGTGCTACTGAGTTATCCAGACACATGGAGATATATTTAGAACTCTTGTAGAACCTGCTGTTCTATGGAAAGCGATTTGTGGACACTCATTACTGTTGTGATGTACTTATGCAGCATCATTTAGCTTGGTCTCTCACCAACCCATCGAGTCGCTTTCTCTCTACTAGCTTTCTACATTTTTAGCCATATTATTATCTGGCATCCTTGTGTCATTCAGTGCTATTTCTAAGAAAACCTTATCTGCCACCACCACTACAACTGAGCCTTCACTGCTCAATACAAGGTTTTATTTTTCAAACAGCCGCCTCATCATAAGAGTTGTCGAAACTGTCTTATCTTTGGAACTAATTGAGTTTTCAACTAATGTGACCTCATTTGCAGCAGAGTAGAGTGGTGCTCTATAATTATCTAAGATGGTGGAGGGAGGATGGATCTCTCCAAAGGGAAAAATGACAAATTGAAATCTAACTGGTAGACCTCATTTCATTTCTATTCCAGATGTGAGAGACTGTACTGTCGCTATTTATTGCTTTGCTTTGCCACACTGTCGCTTGCCTGGCACTAAATGAACGGTGGACATTAAAGATTGAGGGGAGGGATTTAGGAGATAATTATGTGGTTTACAAACCAGTGATTAGGGTCACTATGTCATTGGTCAGTGGCCATCAGACCCAGATGTTGGACAGAATATCAATAAACAGGGTCAGTTTGGAGTTTCAACGGATCTCTGACATTAACACATACAGTACTGTAACATAATGGTGATTATGGAGCTTCAACATATATAATATCTCTACAGTAACATCATGGGCAGCCAACAGTACACAACAATATTGTGTTATATTGCCAATTTGCCATTCAGCTACCAACAGAAAGATCAGACAGCCTTGGTTTGTCTGAACACACCTGTGACCAGTCTCTTACCCACGACATGTAAACAATAAGGGAAGTGAGGAGCGCTCTAGCAACAGACATTTGTCACTCTTTGTATCACATGCTGCCTGCATCTCCTACCTAGATAGATATATAATCATTTGTGATTCTGCTTGTAGTGAAATAGTGCCGTTTAAAGGGGTTGTTGAGTCCTCCAGCATTAGGAAGCTTTTAAGGCCAATAAAGCATCTGTCCAGTAATGGAGGTGATTATGCAGCTGAAACCTCCTTTACTTCTCTAATACACCTATCAAATACACTCCAATCTGTCTGGAAATGGAGCCTCGGAGCAATGTGATGATGACCTATGAGGGAAGATCAATGGTTGAGAGTGGATGTCAATTGTAAAGTGATTTGCTAGATGGAGTGATGCTATAATTTACTGTAAATGTGTGAGGAGGCTTTTGTAGTTACAGTACATTACTCTTCTACGGTATGCACCACTACATTAAAGAAGACTGTTTTTGTTGACATTATTTTAGCTTCCTTAAACACAATCAATATGGCAGCAATAACTAATATACCAATACATCAAACATGGCAGGAATCAATCAATCAATCAATCAATCAAATGATCAATAGCACCTTCAGTTCAGTCATTTTTAGGGTAACATTTTCACAGACTACAATTACACAATAGTCTGGACAGTTTTAGCAATAGAAAAAACAATACAAGAGATTAGATACTACAATAAGCCCCATCACTTATCATGATGAATTCTAGGTTACTGCTTATTCTAGGAATCGCTAGCGACTAAAAGTATAACTCATATAATCTGGTAGAAAATCCTAAAATGTTTCATGTTGACTCATTCAACTGCTGAGAGTCAATATGCAAGCAAGAAAGTATACAGTCAACACCGAATTCAATTCTGCAAAAGGTAATTCAGACCTCTGCATTAAATCATTGCACAACAATAAATAGTAGAAACATTAAATCAAGTCTCTGAAAAAGAGCATGGGCTGCCAGCCAACACACACTACCTCTCATAGTAAAAGCAAACAGGTACAGTACTGAACCAGGATAATTATCTGCCCACCTAAGGCAAGTCTGACACACTACACTGTGGAGTCCCTAACTGTTCTGAAACAGATGTGTGCATTCAGCAGTACAGCACTGCAAGACAAATGCAAGTGCCACAGCCAAAAACAGCACTCACCCCAAACAGCTCATTACTGTTAGTAGTCTGTCATAATTCAGAATCAGAAGGAACGTTATGAGGATTATAAAATAATAAACGTGAGTAAGTGCATAGGTTCACAAACGGTATGTTGAAGTCTTAATACAGTATAACGGTATGGGACAGAATCAGCATGGTGCATCCAGGAACCATCGCCAGCAGTGAACTGTCAAGGGAGAACGGTCACCAAACACAGACGAGCAATAGCATAAAGCAGAATAATGAGAGGGGGGGGGGGGGGGGGGGGGGGGGAATAGCGAGAAAGAGAGAGACAGAAAAAAAGAAAGAAAGAAAGAAAGAAAGAAAGAAAGAAAGAAAGAAAGAAAGAAAGAAAGAAAGAAAGAAAGAAAGAAAGAAAGAAAGAAAGAAAGAAAGAGGAGGAGAGGAGGGAGAGAGTCCAATTCAGTGGAGTAAAACAAACACATTTTCATGGCCTGTTAAATGTCACTCAGTCTATATTTAGAGAATAATGCCAAAGAAGGAAATAAGTCTCACTGTCCTCTGGGGATCAGGAATCACTGTCTTATGATCTTATTGAACAAAATAGCTTTGCATTTGAATATTACATTATCCATACATAACCTTATAACCTTAGATAGTACAGTATCTTACAGTATAACAATTTCTATAATGAGTGTCTAATCATATCACTAGGACCCAGAGTTTTTACTGGTCTGGTCATGTGGTGAGGAAAAACTCAGGGCCCCAATCATTAGGTATCACTACCTACTTGATATACCTTATTAATGGTACCCAAAGGATCTGCACTGACTATCTTGCACTGACCCTACGCACACTCACTAGGCTATATATACACACCATATATGTACTCACTCACACACACTACATTGACACTCCCACACAAAACCCACACACATTCACATACACTACATACACACACACACACACACACACACACACACACACACACACACATAACACACACGTACACCGACACAACACAAACATTCACAATACACACACTTTATTTTACTCTTATTATTATCTATCCTGATGCCTAGTCACTTTACCCTGTCTTCATGTCCACTACCGGTCAAAAGTTTTAGAACAACTACTCATTCAAGGGTTTTTCTTTATTTTTTAAACTATTTTCTACAATAGTGAAGACATCAAAACTATGAAATAACACATATGGAATCATGTAGTAACCCAAAAAGTGTTAAACAAATCAAAATACATTTTATATTTGAGATTCTTCAAATAGCCACCCTTTGCCTTGATGACAGCTTTGCACACTCTTGGCATTCTCTCAACCAGCTTCATGAGGTAGTCACCTGGAATGCATTTCTATTAACCCTCCCGTTGTCCTAGGGTCAAAATGACCCGCCACTGTGTTGAACCAACTTTATTTAATTTTTATATTTTTGGGATCATTTGTGAGAAGGAGGCAGTGAGACTTTAAAGAAAGTATCACTGCCTCCTTCTCACAAATGATCCAAAAAATATAAAAAATAAATAAAGTTGGTTCAACACAGTGGCGGGTCATTTTGACCCTAGGACAACGGGAGGGTTAACAGGTGTGCCTTCTTAAAAGTTAATTTGTGGAGGGGGGGGGGGGGTATACAGAAGATAGCCCTATCTGGTAAAAAAAATACCAAGTCCATATTATGGCAAGAACAGCTCAAATAAGTTCATTAGAGTTACCAGCCTCAGAAATTGCAGCACAAATAAATGCTTCACAGAGTTCAAGTAACAGGCACATCTCAACATCAACTGTTCAGAGGGGACTGTGTGAATCAGGCCTTCATGGTCGAATTGCTGCAAAGACACCACTACTAAAGGACACGAATAAGAAGAAGAGACCTGCTTGGGCCAAGAAACACAAGCGGTGGAAATTTGTCCTTTGGTCTGGAGTCCAAATTGGAGATTTTTGGTTCCAACCGCCGTGTCTTTGTGAGACGTGGTGTGGGTGAACAGATGATCGCCGCATGTGTATTTCCCACCGTAAAACATGGAGGAGGAGGTGTTATGGTGTAGGGGTGCTTTGCTGGTGACACTGTCTGTGATTAATTTAGAATTCAAGGCACACTTAACCAGCATGGCTACCACAGCATTCTGTAGCGATACGCTATCCCATCTGGTTTGGGTTTAGTGGGACTATCATTTGTTTTTCAACAGGACAATGACCCAAAGAAGGAGAGTGATGGAGTGCTGCATCAGATGACCTGGCCTCCACAATCCCCCGACCTCAACCAAATTGAGATGGTTTGGGATGAGTCGGACCGAAGAGTTAAGGAAAAGCAGCCAACAAGTGCTCAGCATATGTGGGAACTCCTTCAAGACTGTTGGAAAAGCATTCCAGGTGAAGCTGGTTGAGAGAATGCCAAGAGTGTGCAAAGCTGTCATCAAGGCAAAGGGTGGCTATTTGAAGATTCTCAAATATTAAATATACTTTGATTTTGTCAGGTCGTGTTGTAGGTGTGGTGTAGGAATCAAACGCAGGAAGCAGACTGAATTCCAAAAAGCTGTATTCCTGCCTAAACACAGGCAACAGGACAAAATAAGCCTGACAGCAAAATACGCACGAAGGCGAAAAGACAATGCGCACAAACAGGTGCGTCAGGATGAAATAAGTGCACACACAAGTGCAACGAACGCTCCAGCAAACAGTGGAGAAAAATAACGCTCAACCGAGCAATACACAGACTGACGGTAACAATCACACACAACACAAGACAAACACAACGAGAAACTTATAGGACACTAATTACTACAAAACAGAAACAGGTGTAGAAACAAACAGACAAAAGCAAACGAACATGAAACATCAATCGGTGGCAGCTAGAATTCCGGAGACGACGAACGCCGAAGCCCGCCCGAACAAGGGAGAGAGGCAGCCTCGGCCGAAACCGTGACAGTACCCCCCCCTTGACGCGCGGCTCCAGACGCGCGCCGACTCCGGCCTTGGGGACGACCCGGAGGCCGCGGCGCAGGGCGCGTCGGATACCCCCGATGGAATTCCGTCAGGAGCGACGGGTCCAAGATGTCTCTCCTCGGCACCCAGCACCGCTCCTCCGGACCGTACCCCTCCCACTCCACTAGATACTGAAGACCCCCTCTCCGACGTCTAGAATCCAAGATGGATCTCACGGTGTACGCCGGTACCCCCTCGATGTCCAACGGGGGCGGGGGGGTCTCCAAGATCTCATGTTCTTGGAGTGGGCCTGCTACCACCGGCCTGAGAAGGGACACATGGAACGAGGGGTTAATACACTTATACTCAACTGGTAACTGTAATCTATAACATACCTCGTTCAACCTTCTCAGGACTTTAAATGGCCCTACAAACCGCCGACCCAGCTTCCGACAGGGCAGGCGGAGGGGCAGGTTTCTGGCAGAGAGCCAGACTCGATCTCCAGGTGCGTACACTGGCCCCTCACTGCGGTGTAGGTCGGCGCTCGTCTTCTGTCGACGTATGGCACGCTGCAGATGGACGTGTGCAGCGTCCCACGTCTCCTCCGAGCGCCGCACCCACTCATCCACAGCGGGGGCCTCGATCTGGCTCTCATGCCATGGTGCCAGAACCGGCTGGTACCCCAAAACACACTGAAAAGGGGTTAGTTGGGTGGAGGAGTGGCGGAGAGAGTTCTGTGCCATCTCGGCCCAGGGCACATATCTCGCCCACTCCTCCGGCCGATCCCGGCAGTACGTTCTGAGAAACCTACCCACATCCTGGTTAACGCGTTCCACCTGCCCATTACTCTCCGGGTGGTAACCCGAGGTGAGGCTCACCGAGACCCCCAACCGCTCCATAAAAGCTCTCCAGACTCTGGAGGTGAATTGGGGACCTCGGTCAGCC